GACGACCGACCGTCTGTTCTTCTTTTCCCATTTACCTACACAAACTTGCATTCTGCCGTCATGGTCAACGACAACACCGCCTGGAGACGACGGCTAGTGATCTGCTGCGATGGCACATGGCAATCTAGCGTCAGCAGCAAAGACAACATACCCTCAAATGTTGCCAGACTCTGCCGCTTGATAGCGCGTGTTGGCACCGACAAGGACGACGACTCGAAGAAATTCCACCAGATCGTGTACTATGACTCCGGGATAGGAACCGGGAATCTGAGCACCTCTGAGAGACGACGACAAGGTGGCACGGGAGCTGGTCTTGCCGAGAACGTTATTGAAGCCTACAACTTCATTGTGCAGAACTACGAGCCTGGCGATGAAATTTTCTGCTTCGGATTTTCGAGAGGAGCTTACACCGCACGTGCGGTTGCCGGGCTGGTCTCGGACATAGGTGTGATTGCACCAGTCAACATGCAGTTCTTCCCGGAGCTGTATCGTCTATATCAAAGGAACGAAGAGGGTGTTGATTTTCGGGAGACGAATGAGTACAGATGGTTCACCAAAGGCAAGCTCAGCGAGAAGGGTCTGCAGATGGAGAAAGAGGGCGTAGATGTCAGGAACATCGACTGGCATGATCTCAAACTGCTGGCGGAAGTATGGGATATCCGGCCGCATGGTGAGCTTGCTGTCAGCGAGGGAAGTAGGAAGGTGAAGGTCGTGGGTGTATGGGATACCGTTGGCTCGTTGGGTGTGCCCGATCTGATTGGTATTGATCTGGCGTGGTCGAGGACGAAGTATGGGTTTCACAACGTCGAGCTGACAGAGAGTGAGTTTTAGTGGTGTCGAAACGTGTGGTTATGGCTAACGATTTGTAGACATCGAGCATGCATTTCAGGCGTTGGCTCTGGATGAGCGTCGGAAGGCTTTCCGTCCTACGCTCTGGTACATTCCTAAAGATCTAGTCGACGATCCCAACAGACCAACACCGGAGCTGAAGCAGGTTTGGTTCCCTGGTGTTCATACAAATATCGGTGGTGGTTCACAAGACGCTTTCGGTGATATGAAGGGAGATTCGGAAAACATCTCCACAGCAACCCTCTGCTGGATGCTTCAAGTCATCTCCCCTCACCTCACAATCGACCGTCATGCTTTCCAGCTGTCCATGGACCAGTACACGCGCTGGCTATTCCGCCTCCGCTTCGCATGCACCTATCACCACCAGAACCTCCTTCAAAAAGCGTGGAACCTGCTCCCAAAGATCTCCATTCCCGGCATCGGTCACGATACACTCAAACCTCCGCCGCGTTCTCCACCCCACTCACACACCAACTTCGACTTCAGCTGGGGTACAGGTCCTCTCGTGGACTCTTACAGCGGCATATACTACTTCATCGGATCTTGGCAACGCATGCCCGGCCACGAAGAAGTCGAGTGTTACAACGAAGACACCAAAGCGCCCAAATGGACCAAGCTCCGCGATCTGGGCGATACAAACGAATACATCCACCCCATCGCCTACTACCGCCATCTCGTCCGCGGATGGGACAAGCACTCTCCGCTGAAACACAACTGGAACCGCGGTAACTGGCGCACAAAAGAGGATGATACGGCGAGGTTTTGGTGGTACAAAGATAATGAGCAAGAGAAAGGCGCGATACCTGAGTGGATCATGATGCCGGACGGTCCCGCGGACGAGTACAACTACGAGAGGGTGTGGTATAATAAGTGTGAGGAGGTTGCGGGCATAATGGACAAGGTGGTTGGTAAGGAGGATTTCCGCGGCAAGGGGTTCTTGGAGAACCTGGACAAGGAGATTGATCTGGGGGTTGATGGGATGCCGAAGGATGTTGCCCCTTGAGAGGGGAGTCACGTCAACCTTGGGGAAAACGGAACACCCTAGAGTCTACATCGACATTAGGCTACCTACTTTGCATACTTTTACGTTAATGTAGTTTGTAAACGTCTTCAGTTTTTTCTTGTATAAGGTAGAGTCCTTGAATACAGGGATGGAACTCAAGGGTGTTGCCGCATACATTGGGTTATCATCAGCGAATTGGAAAATCTGGCGTTGATGTATGCTTCACGGTGTTCAGGTTTCGGCCTGATGGAAGTGTTGTGGAAGATCAGGTAGTTGGCAACGCGGTTGGACTGGTAATTAGCGGGAGGTGATCTTTTTGAGGAGCTGGTCTCTTATGATGATGTGCGACGGGCCTAATAACATATGTAGGAAATGTCGAAGTTGCCTCTAAAAATCTCAAGAATCTAGTCTCTTTGGGTACTGGACGTAGAGATGGTTCACAGCAGAGTATCACAGGTAAAGGCAAAATACGGCTGTTAAAGCTTTGCTGCATAGACAGAATGCAAGACAATGCAAGCAGCGTTTGTGTGCATCTGTGAAACTCACCAAGGTTTTAAGTAACGTTCTCCTGGTTTCTTGGATAAGTCAGGTTCGCAAGCTCTATTTAGCTCTTGCGACAGCATGTTATAACCTGTAAAGATAGAAACAAAAGGTAGCAAAAGACTGCAAAAAAGAAGTTTTGATGGACGGGCGGGTGATCTTGAACATGTTAGCGAGTGGGCTCGACCTCTGGAGCGCAGTGTGAACATACCGAAACCCGGACCTTCCGCAGATTGCTGTATTCAACGCCCTTTCAAGCAAGAAGATGCAAAGCGGACCTTGGAAACGTTAATATCTGTTGCGCATACAGGTCGTTCAGTGCAATTGCTTACGCTCTACCACTGAGCCACACGCCCATAACATTTGGAGTCTCTTAGAGACGTTGATGGCGAATTCTTGTGGAATTTGGTTTAGAAACTAAATTCAATTACCGTTATCAACTTACTAACCTACGTACATACCTTAAGCCCTTGCGAAAAGACTCCATATTCGAGCGCGAGCCCACAACATATTCCAAATTTCTGGGTGGTGCGGCGCTAACACCCGCTTCGGGCTAGCAGCTCGTGGATCTTCCCGACCACGTTCCGTGGGCGATCGGAAGCGTGCAACTGTCAGGGTTCACAGCCACGCCTTGGCGCAACCCGGAACCTCTTCGTCAGCACCAACACACCCACATCCTATCACAGTAAACAACACGTCTTCACTATCGTTCCGCCCCGATCACCTCCTCATCACCCAAACATAAGCTCCGTACTATCGCGACAATCGACAATTGAATTGACCGCGCCTCTATCTCGGCACCGCCTTCCCGCAAGCTGTCGATAGCTTCGCAAACAAAACAAATTGCAGTAGCAACGGAAACCGCCACGATGGGATCCTTAGGCACATACTTCCTGGACGTTGTCTATTCCTTCACGAATTGCATGGTTTGCTTTCCTAGCTCACCACAATTGAAGATCAACAGTCGAAGTTTCAAGATATTACGGCTGCTGGGCGAGGTAAACTGAGATACCTCCAATGCACTTCCACTTTACTCATCGCGACACAGGGTGGCTTCTCATACGTCTATCTCGTACAAGATAACTCGAATCAACAACTCCTCGCACTCAAGAAGATTAGATGTCCCTTCGGCCAAGAAAGCGTGAGCCTGGCGCTCAAGGAAGTCGAGGCCTACACACTCTTCTCGCCGCACCCCAACATCATACACTCAATCGACTACTCCGTTGAAACCGACAAGTCAGACTCATCCGCGAAGACCGTATACATCCTCCTACCATACTACCGTCGCGGCAACCTACAAGACATGATCAACGCGAACCTGGTCAACCACACAAAGTTTCCTGAGCGAAGACTCATGGTGCTGTTCCTGGGTGTCTGCAAAGCGCTCAAGGCAATGCATCAGTACAAGATCAAGGGCGGACCCGGCGGCGCGAAGAGTGAGGGCAAGGCGAAGAAAGTCCGGAGAGACGCGAAGAGGGCAGACGCGGAAGCTGCGGAGACAATGGAGATGCGCCCGAGCAGGCGGAATCGCGATCATGACGAGGACGACGAGCAAGAGGCAGAAGGACTGCTAGAGGAGTCAGAAGTCACAGCGGCGCACGAAGGCATTGCGCCTGGCGGGGAGAGGGCGTACGCGCACAGAGACATCAAGCCTGGTATGCACTGCATTCATCTTATGGTTGCGCATTCTAGAGACTAACACGCGTAGGAAACATCATGATAGACGACGACGGCCAGACACCCATCCTCATGGACCTCGGCTCCCTCGCACCGTCCCCAACACCCGTCACATCGCGCTCCCTCGCCCTACAAATCCAAGACACCGCCGCCGAGCACTCCACCATGCCATATCGCGCCCCCGAACTCTTCGACGTCAAGACGGGCTCTGTCATTGACACCAAGGTCGACATTTGGTCGCTCGGTTGCACGCTCTACGCCTGCTTAGTCGGCAAGAGCCCCTTCGAAGCTAGGTCAGATGAGACGGGTGGTAGTCTGAGCATATGTGTCTTGGGTGGTGACTGGAGATTTCCAGATGAGGGTATGCAGAGGGGGAAGCAGAAGGCGAATCCTGAGGATGCTATCACAGATAGCGTCAAAGAGGTGGTGAGGAAGTGTTTGAGGCTGGAGCCAAGTGAGCGACCGGATGTTGATGAGCTCATTGAGATTGTTGAGGGCGTGCTGAGGGAGCTTCCTGAGGACGGCTCGGACGATTAAGTGATGCAGCATCCGCTCAAAGTGGTTTCTCCTTTAGTGAGCACGCTCGTACGCGTGCATTTCTTTCCTACACGGCGTGAGTATTTCCAAAGAAGAATTGGGCTCTTCAGTTTTCCATCCAGGCGAGCGTATCGATACGTTTCAATATACCCTTTCACGTGTTGATCGCGCCAACCCACTTCCCAGTTCCACTCTGACTAGGCGTTATTATCATACGGGTCCTCTGGACTACCAAGGCACAGTAACTAAGGAAAAAACTAAACAGGCCTGCAGCCTACATTAACATAGAAGCATGCAAAGTAGATATCCTAACGTTGACGTAGGCTCTAGACCTGTTCGGTTTTTTCCTATATAAGAAGAAGGCTTCAAGTGGATATTGGGAGTTCTTGTCGACCTATTCCACGTTCTTTAGTTTTCTAAAGAGATGCATCCACTCTGCTTTGTGCCAGTTTCTCTCACGTCCTGAGACGGAGTATATAAAGCGCCCACCCACATCAACGATCTTCATTCTTTCCTCGGCGTGAAAGTCACCATAGTCTTCTGCAAGAGGATGAGCGGATTTTGCGATGAGATGTCGTTTTTCGATCCGTTGTTCCATCAGCGCAGCAGTGAGCGCACCGCTCAGACTTGCGAAGACATCCAGCTGGTGCATTACGCGAAGACGATTCTGTACCCATTGCTCTCTGGTCAAAACCTTTTGTCCCGTGTTGGAGTACACTGATGAGTCGCGCAAGAGATGCGTGTGTAAGATAGATATGGAGTCCCTCGGTATGCTCCACAGAGCATCTACCAACGAAATCTTCGCTTCTCCGGTGTCTTCAATGCCGTCGAGCAGCAGCCATGCCTCGGTCGGAAAGGCGCAAGGCTTCCTACGGTATATTTCTCCGAATTCCACAAGGTCGCAGTTGTCCCGGTGTCTATGGTAGAAGTTCCAAATGAGGGAGCGAGGCTGCGGTCGCAGTAACGCTAGCGGTGTGTCGATGCTTGACCCGAAGGACATGGCGTATCGAGGACAGGACCAATCCTTCGCATTGCGAACTTTTTCATCATCAATGAAAGCTAAGGGCATGTGATGGAACGTGCCATAGATTCGCAAGTCTTTGATGAGATTTGTGGCGAAGTTCTGGCAAGTATTCTCTCGCCAAGTCCAGTCCAGACGGGTATCCCGATTCGCCAGAACTTTGGCGAAATGCTTGAGATATATATCGATCTCGTGCCCAAAGGTTTCTTTGATGGCCTCGACAATCGGTAGCGAGGCCTTGCGCAGGTTCGATCGCGCTCGAGTGACCCAGTTAGCGGACTCTCCCTTTAGCTTAAAGCTAGAACCAGCCTCGGTCAGACACCTTATTACCTCTTTCTCGCCATCTGAGAAGTGCACGTTGTGTCCGGAGAATGCACCGCCACACACCTTCTTCGCGCAACCAAGAATGCGGCGGGCGGTTCTAGGTTTCTGATGTAGCTCTTTGATCACGCGTTTGTTGGCTTTGTCATCGTACACATGCCCCGTGAGAATTGTCTCGTTCGTCGCGTCCCGTTCAGAGAATATCAACTTCATGAGAGATGGTTTGTATCGTAGAGACGGTATGGGCCGACAGGAGATGTCGGCTTTGTGGACGCTGATGGCTTATTTAGTGTCCTGCTACAAGGTGGTATACGAATAACTTACGGTCGCAAGCCGTTTTCTATCATCAGAGGCCCGAAGGTAAGAGCAACGTGGAGTGGTCCTGCATTCACGAAATGGGTTGGAGAGATAAGCTTGGAAGCCGTTCTTTGCAACTGTGATGCGGATGAACCGTCTTCCTTCCTGAATTCAAAGGCCCGTAGCTTTGCTCTGAATGAGGGAATTCCTAGGAGTATTTTAGTGTTTTGAGAACTTTTCAAATCAAGAGAAAGACATACCCTTTTCCTCACTTGTGGGATGAAACACTTTGCGACAGTGTTCTCGTTTACATGTCGCCAGTATGTCATCTTTACGTGTACATGCAACACATAGCCTCACGGGCGGTCTGGACTCAAGGGGTATATTTATATCCTTCCTTTCGTTGCCTTCTTCATCCTGGATGTAGAACTTCGAGATCAAACTGAAATGCGCAAAGCGTTAGCAAAGCGTCGAGGAAATCTAAAGCCGTGTGGAACTGACCTGACACATCCTTCGTTGCACTCATAATAGAAATATTCTCGCAGTGGTTGTCTGCACGCTTCGCAACGCATTTCGCGGAAATAAACACGCGAATCACTCGGTATTCGAAATGTCTCGCCTAGAGTTCCAATCAACTTGCAAATTCCGAGCTTTCTTCTTTTGCTATCACATACCACGTGGATTATGACAATGTCTGCCAATTGTGACGTCGTCTATGCTGTCGTGCACAATATCGACATCCAGTAGCCCTAGTGTATTTCGTCACTAAGTTTCATACACACAGCCTATAGTGTGGATTACCTAGTGCCTGGAGAAGAGATCGGCTACGCCGTGATTCAGAATCGAGATCCAAGTGAGCTACAAGAGACTTTTAATCCTTTCCGGTTTAAATTATACGGGAGGAAGTCAACACACCCCGAGCAAGTTCAACTGCGCGACTGTGCAATCTTACTGAGTCGAATGCATCGTCACCTTTGACATAGGGTGCTGCAGCTCGGTTAGCGTGCGTGCTGTAGCTTTTGAGTTTGCTAGTCGTCAACTTACTCAATAAATTACAGAAACGCTCGAAGTTGCGAGCACTGAGATCCGGAGCAACGGTTTCGTTGGGAGAAGAATTTGTCTGGTACCTCTCTATATCTTGATAAGCTAGAACGAGTTCGCGTACTTCTCTCTCCAAGCCCTCCCAATACACGCTGCTGAGCAACCGGAAGATTTCACCAAAGGTACCATCGTAGATATTTGAAGTGCTGGCAGAATCATCAGGGTTCATTGTGTCATGCAGGGGAGGTGATAGATCCAGTGACGTGTCTTCCAAGATCGCGAGAGTAGTATCTAGGTACCTACCCCTCGGCTGTGTAACGATGCCAAGAGTCCAGGCGGCAATGACGACTTGCACTTCATTACCAGAGCAGCCATCGTAGAGCAATAGTCCCGAGATGCCACAGTCCAGAGCAGAAGCAAACAAGAGACTTTGGGGTCTCCTCAGTAAGTCGAAAACAAAGACTTTGATTGCTGAAAGCAGCGGGGCAGTAGCCTCGTCCTCGAACAGTGTCTCCCAGTCCACTGAGAGTACTTCGAATTCCGTCGCGCTATCCAAAGCCTTTAAGAAGCTGAACGACATCGACTTCTCATACGATATTGCCGACCAACGTAAGTCAGCCTTTGCAGCCTTAATCGAGAGCATTCACGACACCTCGCTAAGATCTTCAAGTTGAGAACGACAACGAATGGATTGACTACATTGGTAGGATCGAAAAGTATGCGAATCATGTTCTCCGAGATGGTATAAGCCGTTTTGAATTGTAAGTCAGCAAAGAAAGTAAGAGCCGTCGCGTGGTTCTAAAAGAGATGTAGAGAGATGTCCCAGTGGAAACAGGTCAATCTTGCAGCAGAGTGGGCTGTCCGTGTCCACAAGATCAAAGGATCGTCGGAGGACACGATATTCTGCGGGCCAAAGAGTGCCACCGGAAATAGCAGACCCTTCTGTCTGCATACTACGAGAATTGACGAACGCGACAATCTTATCATCGCGTTTCGCGCTACCAGGTGGCCTATGTATTCTGCAATGGAATGGGCAGTCAATACCAATACAGATCCTACAGACTGCGAAGAGTTGGGGGTAGACATGAAATGCCATCGCGGTCTTCTCGCGCTTGCAAAAAACATGGAACCTCTAGTCGCAGCAGAGATAACGAAGCTGTTCGAGGATCGCCCGCCAGGTGAAGTGGACCTATTGTTCACCGGTCACTCCAGCGGTGCCGCAATTGCGCAGCTCCTCTTCGCATCTATGCATTCAAATACCTCTCAATTGTCAAGATTGAAAGCAAGTAAGTGAGCTCACTGAATCATCAAGTGCTTGGCTGATCAAGGCTATGTTTTACACAGTGGATAAGATTACTTGCATAGACTGCGTCACATTTGGAGGACCACCGGTCTCCAGACCTGCGATTCTGCGTCCGACGACAAAAGCAAAACTTTTCATATCATTCATTAATGAGGGAGACCCTGCCCCTCTTGCCCAGGAAAGCTACATGCGGAGCCTCGTTGAGGCATGGACGCGACCGGTCACCACAGAAGAATGGGCAATCCCTCCGCCTTTTTATATTCCTAGCGGAGACCAGGTAGTCCTAAGAGGCGAAACTGATGAGAATGACGAACTCAAGAGAATTTTACCACTGCGGGTCGACCCGAAGGAATTGGAGGCCGTCGTGTTCGGGGATATCGCCATGCACAGCATGAGCCACTATGTGAAACGGATACAGATGATATTGCAGCAACCACAATCCCCCCAAAACCCATTTGAAGACCAGTAGCGCAGAAAATGGCCATTAAAGCCTCACAGAACGTGCTCATGTAATGGTATTCTGCCTCATTATTAGATTTTCCTTTTCCGTAGACCCAGCAGTGTGAAACAGGCGTTTCCTTGCAACCCTGACATGCCTCTCATTCTTCAGCTTATACCCAAATGTCCACAAACCCCAGACCAGGAGAGTCATTAGCAGGAGCGGCAGGGAGACTGCGATGTACAAGAACAGCCCTGGCTTCCAGATCTTGACAATGGTGTCGTCGACCTTATCTCTAGATTCGCGCTGGAACATTGGCGTGCTGAAGAGACCTGAGACGAACGTGCCCGGTAGAAAGATTGTGGTCATCAGAGCGAGGAGTTTCATGCTTTGCGCATCGCTCCTAGTGGCCCATGCGATTCGGCGGGACTCTTCAGCAATATGCTGAGCCGACGCAGAATCGTTTGCGGTTATGAGGTGAAATAGCTGCAAGTGAAGTTAGTCTATCATCTCGAACGGAGAAGTTGTTTGGAGGCGTTCGCCATGACTAACCGCTTCCTTTTGAGTCCGAATACGAGAATTGGTATACTCCAAGTCAAGGACCTGCATAGCCGTACGCCGCTCGACGATATCGTTCAACGCCAACAGTTCTTTCTGGCTTTCAGCATCATTCTCATCTTCGAGATGCTTCCGAATGAACCGACCAAACTCCGCTATCACACCTAACTTTCGCGTATTGGAATCAACCCTTGCTCCACACCCGCTCATTCTGGCTGAAAGGCCCACCAGATCGCCCCTCGCAGAATCCTCGACTCGACCCGTCCACTCGTGATAACCCGTCCGTACTTCTACTTCTGGTACCAACTTCTTGACCTCACTAGTCTCAATGTCGACCTCTTTTGAGCTCATCAAGGCGCTCATTAACGCCGGCGTCATTTCGTGATCCGCTAGTCTCTGCACGAACTCTTTTTCCACCATTTCCTGAAGGATGTCGAGTTTGCAACGGTCCACTACACAAGTCACGCTCGTGACGCCAGCCTCCGTGTCGCGTGACCATGTAAATGCCAGTTTTGGATGGTTGCAAAGATAGTACACATTCTTTCCTGTTTCCTGGTCAATTATGGAGCCTATGCCTGCATACTGAGTCTTGCAGTAGGTCTGAGCCAACTGGTGACGGAAGGCACCACATGTCTCTTCGAACAAGACAGGATCAATGTCGACGATGCGTCGCTTGGTGTCAAGAAGGATCCAAACGATTCGAAGGACGCAGTTTCTTTCGATGTTGGGTACTGCGCTTGGCCCAGTTCCATTGGTTCTCTGTAACCAGCCTAGAAGCTCTTGTCTGTTGACATCCCGCTGTACTGAGATTGTACCATCAGGCTCATTGCCTTGGCTTCTCCAGATTTCCGTAACAGCGACATGGCCGACTTTAGAAAAACCAAACTGCTGCCATATAACTTGAGATTTGTTGAGATAATGATGTGCAGAAGCCATATGATAGGTAGAAAAGATGTGGTGGTGTAACGATACGGGTAACTTGACGAGCTTACGTCGACTTATACATTGCACAGCAGTGTCAAATATCCCTGATCAAGTTCTGCCTTCGAGAGAGCCTTGCGGGAGGACTGAACAGCACTGTGTGCCTAGGGTCTTGCATGCCTATACAAACAGGCAAGGCTGAAGCTCAATCACTAGGATCAGGATCCTGCCATCTCGTATGTACTAGTTTCCCCGCCCACTCCGCCTCACCCAGGCTGAAGATGACGTGTTGCATGCCGAGAGGTGCTCTGCGTGCTTGTGAAGTGTGGGGTCAGGGTATCAATTCTCGATGCCTTGCGGGTACGGACGGCTTGGAACGAGAGTAGAACGCACGAGGAAAAATCTCGATGCTGATACGAGGTGGTTGGAGCCTGAAAATGCCTGATGAGAGAAGGACTCTTTCAGCCTTCAATCTACCATATCCAGGGTTGGTGACGTCCGTAATGTGCCGCTTGATCTTCTAAGTCTTATCAGATCAGAGCCCTAGGCATAGACTGAGATTGAAATCCCCATATTCATGCTAGGCTGAAGACTAATTCTCGATATCTTGTAGTCGTATGTGTTGGGATGGTGGGTTGAACCTCCTAAGAACCTTGGAAATCAACGCGTGATGTGGCGCGCGGACCACCCGTGGACACTTCGGAAGCTCCCCCAAGCTCCCCACATTGCGACGCGACTCCGGAGACCCTACACCCACCATGTAGTCGCCAGCAAATTTTGGCGGTAGAGCCTACAGATTTCAATGCCTACGCGCGCGATAAAAGCAATATTCTATACTCGCTTCCACCATGAGAAAGGTAGTCCAAAGACAGCCGCGCCTTCAGGAAACCCCGCTGACATCTTCTCTAGGGAATCGCGTCCTCCACCAGGTACCCGCAGGCGCCATAATACCGTCCAACCTCCCATCGGCGCTCCCCACACCACTATTCACCTTCCCTTCGGTCACGCAATTCCTCATACCCACGCAACAGTTCTGCGACCGCCTACTCACTTTCTGCATCAACCACAATCGCGTCATCGGATACCCTGTTTGCATAAGAGAAGGGAAATACAGTAGGAATGAGTTCATCTTCAATTTCGCAATCGTGATAGGCGAAAATGAGCGCGACTGGGCGTGCTACGGCGAAGTCGTGAGGAAGCTTGGACGCTTGTTGAGAGGCTTAGAAGAGCAGGGCGGATTCTTGTCCAGAGAAGAGGAGGGCGTTTGGGAAGATGAGGGAGGAAACATTGGGTTTGGGTACGACGATGGCGTCGGCGGATTTGGAATTGGTGGTGGCAGCAAGGTGTATGCGCTGTGTGAGATGGTGCTTGAGGATTTAAATAACTACGCTGAGTGTATGATACCAATCGGTAAGTCATGCTTCTTACCAGACTGTGGTATGCGATATACTAACCAACCACCAGATGACTCGAACACGATCAACCTGAAGCTATTCCCTACGCGACCGCCTCCTCCACCTATCCTCGCGCATCAAGTGCCCTTGCTCACCATATCTCTGTCAAGTCTCCAGCAACCCGTATCCTCGGACCTCACTCTCAATCGCATACTACCATACATAAACGGTATCAACTCGATAGCCCATATAGCGCAACTGGCTGATACCGATCTCTCGTTGACAAGACGAGCCATTCAACATTTGGTATATTATGGATGTTTAATACTACTGGATATCTTCAGCTTCAGCGCCATATATGCGCCAACAGCAGAGATTGGTGATTTCATAATGGATGCAGAGGTTAAAGAGGAATGTATGCGCTACGTCAGCGTACCGAGAATGAGACTTGGTTCAAACGCAAAGACAGCTCGGATGGATAGCGAAGTTTCAGAGAAGAGTAGGGACGAGCGTAGTTCGACCTCGTCTTTGTCATCACAGCAAAGCGAGACTGTCGGATCTACGCTTAGGGTCTCAGAGTTCGATGGCCACATCGCCGCTCAAAAGAAGGAAGAGGAGGAAGAGAATGTATGGCAGACGAGCCATGAGACGTTAATAACGCTATACACATCGCTGCGACAAGGTCTCACTTTGAAGAACTGGGTGCTGGAGAATCTAGACTTGCTCACTGGCATCGACGTACGCCGCTTCATTACCTTCGGCATCATCAAAGGTTTCCTCTACCGTGTGCACAAGTACGCAATAGCGACCTCAACGACCCTACCACCCGCACCACCAACGAGTCTGCAAACAAGTGCCGCGACATCTCTCGCAAACCCCCGCGACTCAGACACCACCACAATTCGCGGTAACGAACGAGTACACCATTCCTCCCAACCAAGTATCCAGACCCACGGTCACCACACTTCCCAAGCCAACATCCACACACATCATCCATCCTTTTCGATTCACAGACCGAGCGTTGCCTCCGCGATGCCCGGGAACCACAATCATCTTCAACAACAGAACCCCCAACATCTCAGTGTTTCGAAGGGTGAAGAACACCAGACCCTCGAGGGCTTGGTGAGCGATAGAGACAAGAGCGGGAGCGGGCTTCCTCTATTGAGATTCCTGGATGGTATGCACTGTTTCGATGAGATATGTACGGAATTGGGACTACCCGAACGTGTTGTTGAAGGGAAGGTACGGGGTATGGGTGAGGGGGCTGGGGTCGTTGTGCATCGATGAGAAGAAATGGCTTCGTCCCGGCTTTCAGATTGAGAAGTGTTGAGGAGAAGGATTTTGTCAAACCTGTGTATACTATGCCATGATCCCAATGCTTATATGATGCTGGCGCCAAACAATGCATACACTAAACAAAACCATAAGCTCAGTGCCGTGTTCGAAAGCCAAAAGTCCTGCTACCCTTCTTCATGCACCTTGTTTGCCCCGTACCTCCAGTTTCCTAGGCTTCTTCTTCTCCTTCTTCTCTGCATCCGCACCACCATTCTCTTGGTTCGCCTTCCGCTGCTGCGCAAACTCATCTGCCGCACGTCTCAGCGCCTCAGGGTCTGGTATACCGTCCTCTTCCCCACCCATCTGGTCTTGCATCTGCCCATCAACATCCTTCCCGTCACCTTCCTCTTCACCTTCCTTCTCCTTATCCTTCCCATCCTTCTTCCCACCCCCAAGCTTCACCCACGGCCCATGTACACCACCCACGCCCGCTCCCACCAACGTCCCCACAGCCGTCGTAGGAATCGTAGCCACAGTCCCCACCAGCGTGCCTACCACCGTCCCCAGTCCCGCACCCACAGCCATACCAATACCGCCACCCCCTACACTACCCTGGAACGCGCCTGAGCTGAGCACGCGCGCCTTTTTCGAGTTTCCATGCGCTTCAATCTCCTTGTTGTATGCATCTTGCAGGTATTTGTTCCGTTTCTCAGGGTCTTTGATGGTTTCGGCGGCGGCACGTAGCGACGAGGCGGTTTTGGCGGAGGCGAGGGCGGACTCGGCGCTCGCGGCGGCTTCTTTGAGTTTGTCTTCTGGACTGTCGGATTTGGCGGCTATGTTCTTCAGCTCGTCTACGTCGGGGACTGAGGAGGGTGCTTGCTGGTTTAGTTTCTTGGGTGGCATGACGAAATGCTTCTCTTTCTTCTTTCAGTCGATTGGAGATTTGTTGCTGAAGGAGGTGTTCAGAACGAACTTTCTTCGTGTGTGAGAGAGTGCCATGATGATGCGTGGTACGTAAAGACTCCTTTGGGCTTTGGTCGTATCCTTGGAGGTGCAAGTTCCCGTTATGACGTCATTTGTTCACGACTCCGCTCGTCGCAAAACCTGAAAGACTATGAGCACAGCGCGCTCCGAGGACGCATAGATTTGTCAAACATGAAGGTCAGGGGTTGGCTTTGAAACGCAGTAGATTCATGTCTAGGGGTAGCTCGCTAATCGAGCATTAGGGTCGCTTCACCTTTCTATGGTTGATGATACCAAAGTTTATGATACATCCTCTATGAAACTCTATCGCTTACTCCCAGCTCAGGGTCCAGCTACCTTGCCAGGCTCCTCCACTGGTCAAATCATTCAAACCTGTGAGCTTCAGGACGCTGCTGGTAGAGTTGTACTCTACATTGCTTGCATCGATCGTCTCGCCGTTCAGCTTGACCTGTCCACAAGATGAAGCTCCCATGATAGTGACGTTGGCAAGCGCGTTGGTGTCCTTGAATTCGCCCTGGACTTCAGCCTTCAGTTGTCCATCCATAGCAGCGAACGTAATGTCCAGGCTCGACTCCGGCTCAAGAGATTCGCCATCGTCAATGTACAGGTTACCAGAAGCAGTACCATCAGTTGATAGAGCAACGATGAGACCCCATGGGTTCTTCCGGGACTCAGTAGTGGTGTAGCCAGGCTCTTGAGTTGGCAGTACTGCGCCACCGCGGACGTATACGGGGATGTGGCCCAGAGGAGCCGAGATGGTAGTGTTGACACCAGCTTCAGCCTGGATACGCTCGCCAGAGTACCAGTCGAACCAGCTCTCGCCGTCGACGATACCGGGGAAAACACCATTGACGGTGTCAACCTGAGGCTCAAGGACGGGAGTGACGAGGATGTTGGGTCCCAACATGAACTGTGTGTCGACGCCTGCGAGCTGTGGCTCGTTGGGGAACTCCCATGCGAGCGCACGCATCACGGTAGAACCAGTGGTGTGGGCGTCGTTGAAGAGAGTGTACATGTAGGGCAGCAGAGAGTATCGGATGTGCATGGCGGTCCTGGATGCAGAGGCTACGGCATCCCAGACGTAGGGCTCCTGTGGAATGGCAGAGAGCACGTTGTGGTTGCGGTAGAATGGGAAGAAAGCAGAGAGTTGCATCCAGCGGGCGCAAAGCTCCATGTCGGTGTTTCCGTTGAATCCACATGTGTCGACACCGAACATGGGAATACCGAAGAGCGAGAAGGATAGAGCCTGAGGGATGGAGAAGAACATGTAAGCCCACTTGGACGCATTGTCGCCACCCCAGTGACCAGCCCACTTGCCGCTACCAGCAAATGTGGAACGTCCGATGATGAAGGGTCGCTTGCCAGGGAAGACTTCGAGAAGACCCTGGTAGGTGGCATTGATGATCTGGTGGCCAAAGAGGTTGTGGACATCATACTCCTCAACACCGTTCTCGTGTGTCGCGTTAGGGCTGACGGCGTGAACAGCAAGATCAGCTCCGCCCTGGACATGGTTGATGACGTATGGAGGGTAGTTGACGTTGCGCGAACCGGGCGTGGGCTCTGATCGGTAGTAGCTGGCAGTTGTAGAAACTTCTGCCGTGGGCTCTGCTAACAATGCAGCCTGGCTAGAGGCACCGGCTGAGGCTGAGGCGGCCTCGGTTGCGTTGGTGATGTTGAATCCTTCAGGGAAGTCGTAGACAATGTTTCCGACCTCACCAGGGAGAGAGAAAGGCGGGTGAACAGGGTTCAGGGTAACGTTGCCAGTACCGCAGGAGCCGACACAGAATGAAGAGACTTCAGTCATGTCAACCCAGAAGCCGCTGAACGGCACTTCCTTGTACCACTCAACCATCTCCTTAACCCACCAGGCTACACCGTTGGAAGATAGCCAGTCGGGGAAGACAGTGTACCCAGGCCATACAGCGCCAATGTATTGGCTGCCATCGGGGTTCTTCAGAAAGACACCAGACTCGTTTCCGCGAGTGTAAGTGTCGTATGCGTCACTCGCGTTCTGCGGGTTCGGGATGTAGATTGCTGCATCCACAATGGGTACAAAGTGCTGGTTGTTTCCGTGCAGCCAGCCAAAGAAGTCTTTGACACCAGAGGGAGAGAAAGTCACGGGATCAAGAGTGAAGTCTCGGTATTGGTCCATGTAGTCGATGTCGAGCCAGATAGTTTCTAGTCATAGTCAGCAAACATGCGCAAGCGATATAATGCGACGATGAGCTTACCCATAGGAATGTTGAAAGCCCGCATGGTCTCAACAACCTCTCTCAACTCTGTCCAGTTGCGGTAGCCCCATCGGCACTGGTGGAAACCGAAGGTCCAGTACTGCTGCATGGCAGGCAGTCCAATCGCCGACTTTTGGTACTCTTTGGTCACCTCAGGCTGAGAAGGTCCGTCGTAGAAGAATAGGTCGATCGCACCTCCCAATGTTCTCCACGAGAGATGGTCAGGCTTCATGACAACATCCATGCCGTGAGTGTTACGGTAGTATACACCATGAGAGAGAGACTCGTACTTCGATCCAGTTGGCTTGCTGTCGTAGCCAAAGTTGCTCTGTTGCATCTCGGACTGTTTAAGAGGGGTCCTGCTACCATTGCCGCCCTTTTCGAAGTAGCGGGTTTCGAGGTAGAACGGGTGGCTACCGTAAAGGTTGCGGTCGATTGGGTCACCAACATCAGCAGCGTAAATGGTTGCGGTGAAGTTGTTGTTCAGGCGAAGGCCGTGAATGCGTTCTCCGAGACCGTAAAGGTTGTAGTCTTCAGGCAGGCTGTTCACAAACTCAACAAACTGGTTCTCATAAATGAGGTGCGAGCCCTGAGTAGTGAAGATGACATCTCCAGTAGAGCGACGGCCGACATTGAACCAGAAAGATGGCTCGTTTCCCCCTTGAAACCGCGTTAGCTGAGAATCCTCATAATTATACAATGTCCTCGTTGAGATGGCTTACAATCAAATTTGAGGTCTGTGCCCTTCGATGAATCCTCGGCTTGCGGCCTTGGGATAAGATCCTCGGGAACAATCCATTGGGACTGGTTGCTAGCATCAAGATGTTTGGGGACAATGCTAACGGCCAGTCGCCCCTTGGCCTGGTATTCGACCTTCAGGTCTAGCTCCTCGATATCGGTACCGTAGGCATTGCAAGGTGCCCCAGCCAGTGTCAAGGTGGCGCTCAGGCCACGGTCGTTTTGTTCAAGACCGGACGCCTTGTAGCCTGGGCAGACATCCTGTGCATTGACGGCTTGCGGATCGTAGATGTTGGGGATCTGCTCAACGCCTTGGTCTACTGAGGGAGGAAGAGTAAAGACAGGGCGGAATGAGGTAGGGGTGCCAGCCAGGGTCGTGCTCCAACCGCCGTCAGACGAGCTGATAGGTGTCTGGCCAGCTGTAAGCGACAGGAAGGAAGAGAGCAGCGTTGAAGCTTGAAGATAGCTTGAGCGCGACATGATCGATGTGCTGAACCAGTCGAGTGCTGCCTGAAGATCCTTTGGAGTCCATGGCGACCTGGTCCCTTTATAGCTTTCCGCATTGCTGTCCACTGCATTAGGCGCCATATTGGTTTGCTGCGTGAATCTGCGATTCCCCGCAGTGAAGGAACCTGCAATGACGCTGAGCAACAGGAACTGGACTCGAGGAGGCTGGGCGCCTGCATGCGCCATGCATAAGCGAGCTCCGTGCGGGGGATGATCATGGGGGAGCGCGCCGACATTGAGCGAATAGGAACGTGCGGAGACATGCAGTTCCGTCGATGTGTGGGGATCGTGAAGAAGACGGACTTCTAGATTCTAAGCTTCGTGGCTTGAAGCTTGTGATAGCTCATAATGCCTGGTAGAAGCGACTTACCCGTGGGTACTTCCAGTGTAGGATGTACCCCAGCATGCGGTACAGCGCAACAATCCTGAAGGAAGAGAACGGATCCCTAAAGGAAAAGAAGCGAATCATCGTCAAGTTTGAGGGTCGGAAGTTGGTGTCGAGGTGATATCTTCCAGTTTCAATGTTTGGCACGGAAGTCATCGTGCCTGCTTCAACATGAACCGAATCAGTAGGTGCGACCCGATGGATGAAAATTGCTAAGCATCTCCGAACGCCTTCACGGCGCTCTTGCTTCCTCGGTCCACGTAAACATCCCAGTCCTCTTCCGAAGCTGACAAGAGCACAAATTGTGGACGCGCTACGGAATGTATCTCGGTAGAGCCAAAACTTGTACATGCACGGCACGATATGGCGGGTTCAACGTTCTGTAGCCACATGTCATGACAGTGGGGTCGCACGCAGATCTCCCCACAAGCACGGTTGCTGGTCACGAAGGAAGAAAGCTTATACACACAGCCATACTGTCATGAAATTGATATGTTGTTGTATTTCATTGATACTGTTTGTTTTACATTACGTTAGGGTATTAAAGTACAAGAATGTTAGACGTCGTTGTGGCATTGCATCCGCTCTGCAGCATGATCCGTAGTATTTGCACCTTGCTCGCATTGCATCATGGAGCTGCATGCAGTTCATGGCCTCGCGTGCCCTAGCGTTTTCCCGCGTGCTTCCTTCCCGTGCGTCGGAGTACAGGGCTGTCGCGCACGCCCTCGTTGGTCCAAAGTCGGGACACAGAAGTGGAGCAGCGGATGTATTACACTGCGCGCAATGCGATCCTTCCTGAGGGTCTCGGCCCGTGGAGAATGAACAATGTTGGTGCAGGCAGTACACGGCCCGCATGGGTAAGACTACAAAGCTCAGCGCGCCCCCAACATCATAGTTGGAATGATGGTAGGGCAGGTGGCTCCCGTAGCTCACGTCAAGGGCGAGTAGCTTGTAGGCCTGCTGTCCTCGCTAGGTCGATGGAAAGTCTTGTATTCGGCATATTCGTCACCTTCTTCAGCAAGATACAATCCATCGTCCGGGAGCCAGCTTCGCGAATCGTGCGTAGCTCGGGTTGCCGTGGTCATTGTAGAAGCCCGCGCGGAGGCTCGACGTGGGGCTGTTGGTGGTATAGGAGACTGCTGTCGCGGAGGGGTATAAACAGTTGGTGATAAACGAAAGTTCGGGTTCGTAGGACTGGGTAGTACCGTTGAACTTGGATGTAAAAGCAACCCTGATGCAGCAGGAGGTGCACCAGGTGAAAGTGGTTCTGGAATAAGACTCGAGTGTAGCATGGCGGACTGCGCCTTCTTTGGAGAAAGAGAAAGTGGTTTAGGGAATGTCGATTCTGTTGGTGTTCGCGCAGGGTTGCGCGAAGGAACGGTGGGTGTGTTCGGCTCGCCATTTGGTTGATCGCCTATAATATCCTGGTACCAGTCGTAGGAACGAAAGCTGAAGCTTGGGCTTGGAGGTGGCAAGTCGGGTAATGGAAGTTGAGGGGGCTTGCTCTCCAGTTTAGAAAGAGTCTCTCTAACAGGGGAGGGTGGTTCGGAATCACCTCCGTTCGAACTGCCGTCGGCTATCGAGACACTGTCGACAGAGTGTCTTTTGTTCGGTAATTGGCTAAGTTCGTATTCCGAGTTTCGCTTTTCCGCGGTAGGCGTGGCATGCGAGATGGATATCGATGGAGGAGCGGCTGTAGGCGGGATGTATTCCTCAAACTTGTATCGTGGCGCACGATCCCGGGTGGGAGTACCACTGCGAGGAGTATCATTACCCCGAAGCGAACTGACGGCATTGATCAACTCATCATCGAGTATCATGCTCTTGTTGATATTGACATTGACAGCATACGACTTTGCTTTCGTTGGCGGTGGAGGAAGGGGATGTTCCATGAGCGGATGAGGTGTTGGACGAGGTGGCAGTGCCTTTTCTGTTGAGCTTCGTGCGTGCTTCTCCATAGATCCTGACCTCTTGTTGTCCGGTTTCTCCTTCTTCTCATTGAATGCAAGAGCCCTGGCAAATAGCCCTGGGTCCATGGTCTGTTGTTGACTGAAGGCTGCGTTCTGGGGACTGTTTGGTAGTGATGCTACCAAGGTCCTCTGATCTGTGGCATTCGAGGCAGACCTTTGGCGAGTGTGTGAAGGCGCTTCGATCGTATGGGTGCGTGGCCGTCTTGCTCGAACCCTCCAGAACCAGTAACCAGCTGCAATCATCAACACCACCATTCCCACAACTCCTACACCGATGCCAATAGCCGACCCTGGAGTTAGTCGCGAAGTTGGCTCTGCGCCCGACCCGCCAAGCGGTGCAGCACCGCCCATGGTAACACATCTTGCGCTCGAGCATGCTTTGCCGCTTGCGCAGTCGCTATCTGTAGAGCATGTCTCGGTGGGTCCCTTGGAAGTGTCCACGAGGCTTGGCTGATTGAATGAGTTGGTTACGCTGGGAACGGGAGCATTCGTTCCAAGTTGGATGAAGGAGAAGTCTGATGCCAAGTTGGTAGGTAGTGCGGTTGGTGACGATGAGGCAATGCGTAATGATGTAGAAGTTGCGCTCGGTTTCCGTTGTTTGGTAGAAGTACCAGTCGCTCTTGGTGACGAAGTGGATGTAGCCGGCGCTCTTCGCGATGAGGTAGATGTAGTGCTTTGTGGTCGTCGGCGGGTAGTAATGAGTGTGGTAGACATTATTATTAAAGATTGTGTTGAAGCTGGTTATACTGACAAGGAGTGAGTGAACGACGCCGCGCCGATGCCTCAGCCACTTCGTCAGGATGCGCAGGCTTCTTTATGTGATACACCAAGTTCTCCGAAAAGAAAGCATATAGAACGAATGTAGTGTGTATGAAGGATAGTAGTAGGTGCTCACAAAGTCACGAAGATCCGCGATCGACAGAGTCCTTGCGACACAACATCGCCATGCAGGGCGGCACGGGTTAGACCATATCTTGTAGGGTCCGGCAGAAGAGCGTGGAGCTAAAGTTTATTGACGATGCACGCACGGTGCGGGCGATCCACGTTCGGTTGGAGGTTTGACGATCCTTAGTGCGCAACCCAACGTCGCACCCGTCAAACCTTGTCCCCAAACATTGCTTTTGCCGCGACAGTTGACAGTGTGTGTGTGAGCAATAAAGGTATATCACGACGGCGGAAAATACCGTCGTGCTAATCGAGAGAAACTGACCCCCCAGCTCCTGTTGCGCCCAGTATTGAGTACGTTGCGATAACTGCTGTTAGTTCCCCTGTCTACTACCAACATAGCCGGATTCGGCAGCCGTAAAAGCACCGTAGGGGCCCGAGTCAGGATGTTCACGGGTGCGCATCCAAATGTGGTACCAACTCGTTTCAGGGGCACGGAAATGGTCCTGCATATACTATTTTCTGCCTGCAAGCCATCCCACTACGTCTTTCGCGCTGCTGTCGGGAGGGAAAACAGGGTACCAGACTTTCACGATGACTGCGTCTTCGATCGCGAGGGCGCATCTCTTAATCAGTGTCTTATCTTGCCATTTCAAAGTGGGTAGTTTCAGGGCATTGGCAAAGTGTAGGTTCTCGTCCGAAAGCAGTTCGTAGGGTAAATGCAGCCGGTCCTTGGCCTCTTTTTGGTAGGCAGTGTCCTGAGTCGACAATCCAAATACACGCTGTGCGCCGAGGTCGCGTAGTTTGGCCATCTCGTCGCGGAAGCTGCACGCCTGAGGTGTGCAGCCTCGTGCTCCTGGTATGGAGTTCCAATCTTCAGTGATTGTTTCACCAGGCGCACCGGTACGCGGATAGCAGAAGACGATTGTCAGGCCCGGATAAATTGAGACATCAAGCCAGTCTCCTGACGTTGCGGACAAGGATACGGAAGGTATCTGTGTTCCTCTCAAGTGCGAACACGCGCCGTCATCCTGAGGGACAGGTAGGTCCGAAGGGAAGGATGTGTCTGTGCTCGTCAGCACTCGGTCTTGTGAGTATCTGTGCCACTAACGAGCCATGTTGACCGCCGGCCGTCGGTACCGAAGTGTCGTCAAGTTACTCTTGCCTGGCTCATGCGCTACTCACAACGTGCGCTTCGGTCGCCGTCAAGTTGGTGCGTAGGGGACTGTCTATGAGTTGGTAGAGGGTTGACCCTGATGCCCTGAATCGACCTTGCACGAGCGGGGTTCGCAATGACTTTTCAACAAAATCGCGACGATCCAAAGTCTAAAATCAGATCGCTGTGAGAAATCGTGATACGACTGAGCCAGCCTTGAGCTTTTGCTTTGCTGTCTGATGTGGGTGTATGGCGGTGGTGTTGTCGGCAATGGCAGACAGTGACTGGTGGTGAGAAGGGTCGGTGGCGGGGCGAAGGCTTGAAAAGCATTGAACAAAGGTTCAGGTCTACTGCAAGATATTGCTTTGCTGTCAGAACTACTGGTTGGTACTGCACTAACAGACCGCGGGGTAAGAGGCCAATGTCACCGGATTGGAGCGTCCCGCGTATGTTTGCTTTGGGATCTGCCAAACTAGAGCATGTGCTTAGTTGATGTTTGGTAGGTGGCGGTTACGCGGAGGGTAGCCGCGTCCCGCGTCCCGATTCCCTTATTCTGGCATCACGAGATTTCATAGCAGAGGTTTATAGTTGCGACTGCACATGCGAGGGCGGAAGTTTCCATGCAGAGGGGAGCGAAGACAATTGTTCGGACCCTGGATCTAAGCCATCAGCAAGTCTGGCTTGATGTGTATCGTAGCCATGCTACGTAATCTCAGTTGCTTCTTGCACGTCATTTCGCTTATACGAACCAAGATTTGTCTATTTCTCGGCGTTTGACTTGGACGTACATATTCTTGTCACATTATGTTTCCCACGGAATACTGCAATGAAGCTTAAGTTCTCCAGTCGTGCAGTGGTTACCAGGTCAACAGTATGCAACAGCAGGAGGGCCACACTCACTCTAAGCATGATACGGGCATCATAAGGACCCAATGGGCTCTAAAGCGCTGCAGTTCTACTGCATTGAACATGCAAATGTTCGCATGTACAGGGAACGTTGACAGTTGCCAGGTTGAAAGCACCACCCCATTGCCGCAACATCTCAACATCTGCTTCCTACAGAAGGTGATAAAATATCCTGAAGCTACGCGTAAATTGTGTCTTCCCTTGAACGTATTTGCATGCTCATGTAAACTGCAACGCGGGTGTCCAGTTTGTTTATTTTGTACATAGCAAGGTGACACCACATTGCAGTGATGCCGACCGAAGTGGGGTCGCGATCGGCGCTACAGCTTCTGGAGCTCCTCCACGTCCAATCGTGACATCATTAAATCTAAGTAATGCGCCTGTCATCATTGGCCAACTGGCAGCTGTCGCGCTCATAGACAGCCTTTCACTCTTCACCTCTCTTTACAACATTAATGCAGTCACTACGTATTCTACGACCCTTACGAACCTCACTCAAGCTCCAATTCAGCCCCACCAGTCGTCTACAAAGAGCTCCGTTTACATCAACAACCGCAGCTATGGCTCAAGAATTCAAGCTCAAGGATGTCACTTCCTTACAAATGAAGAATGGAGACAAGAAGGAGGTCGAAGTTGAGGGTGTTGAGGGAGGAAAGGTGCTCCTGTTGAAGATCCAGGACCAGGTGCATGCTACCAGTGCCAACTGCACACATTACGGCGCGCCTTTAGTGAAGGGCGTATTGACACCAGAGGGTCGTTTGACATGCCCATGGCACGGAGGTAATATCCGTATGCTACCTGTGTCGCATGCTCAAGACTGACATTCATAGCCTGCTTCAAGGTCTCGACCGGAGATGTTGAAGACGCACCTGCCCTCGACCCCATCGCGAAGTACGAAGTAGTCGAGAAGGACGGCGCTGTATACGTTAAAACCACCGAAGACGCATTGAAGGCCAACCGCAAATTCCTGAACATCAAGTGCTCATCAGTGAGCGAGGACAAGGTCCTGGTCATTGGTGGTGGCTCGGGTACTCTTGGTGCCATTGAAGGTCTAAGAGGCGGCGGATACAATGGCAAGATCACCGTGATCTCCAAGGAAGGCTACCAGCCCATTGACCGAACCAAGTTGTCCAAGGCGCTGCTGGCTGACATCTCCAAGGCGGCCTGGAGGTCAAAAGAGTTCTACAAGGACGCGTCGATTGACATTATCGAAGACGAGGCGAAGAGCGTAGACTTCTCTGGCAAGAAGGTGTCCACAAAGTCTGGAAAGGAGTACGAATACACAAAGCTGGTGTTGGCGACTGGTGGCACACCAAGGTGGCTGCCACTTGACGGTCTCAAGGGCGACCTGGGGAACGTCTTCCTTCTCCGCACTCTGCCCGATGCACAGAACATCCTCAAGGCTGTTGGGGACAACGGTAAGAAGGTCGTGGTCGTTGGCAGCTCGTTCATCGGTATGGAGGTCGGCAACTGCCTTGCTAGCATGAAGAACGATGTGACCATCATTGGTATGGAAGAGGGTAAGTAATCCGTCTGCTCTCGTTGATGGTAGTCTAACGCTATCGCAGAACCAATGGAGCGTGTAATGGGAAAGAAGGTTGGTGGCATCTTCCGCGGTCTGCTCGAGAAGAACGGCGTCAAGTTCAAGATGGGCGCCAGTGTTGAGAAGGCCACTCCTTCCAAGAGCGATTCATCCAAGGTCGGTGCTGTGCATCTCAAAGACGGAACCACACTGGAGGCAGACCTCGTCATCGAAGGTGTCGGTGTCGCGCCCGCGACCGAATACCTCAAGGACAACTCAAGCGTTACGCTGGAGAAGGACGGATCATTGAAGACAGACGAGTCCTTTGCCGTCAGTGGCCTGAAGGATGTGTATGCCATCGGTGACATCGCAACATACCCCTACCACGGACCAGGAGGCAACGGCACACCAGTTCGCATCGAGCACTGGAACGTCGCACAAAACGCCGGTCGCTCTGTAGCCAACACCATCAACAACCCAGGATCCAAAGCAAAGCCCTTCATTCCCGTCTTTTGGTCGGCCTTGGGCTCGCAGCTGCGATACTGCGGTAACACGGTGGGTGGCTACGACGACGTGATCCTTCAGGGCGAGCCAGAGAAGCCGTCGTTTGTCGCGTACTACACCCAAGGCGAGACAGTGGTGGCCGTCGCGAGTATGATGAAGGATCCCTACATGACACAGGCAGCAGAGCTCATGCGTAGGAACAAGATGCCCGGTAAGAGCGAGCTGCAGAAGGGCGTTGACATCCTGGAGGTCGGTCTGCCGAACGAGATTAAGATGTGAAGTGGCATGACTGCAGAAGAATAACCGTAGTGAACCACCAAACAATGAAATTACGCAGAGGGCATGTCACCAGTTGGTGTAACCTACTTGTGGGTTCTCAATGCAAAGTGTACTAGTTGCAAAGTTCTAGGCCCCTAGTCCACGTGATTCTCACTTACACTCATGGTGTCCCCCGTAACTTCCTACTAACTCCGCAGCTTCCGGATCTACATTCCATCTCATTCTGTCATAAACGTGCGCATGACCAAGTATTACAGCGACACGACGAGGGTAGACCCGTCTGATCAGTGCTGTCACAATCTGTTCAATAACGTCCGAAGCAGTAGTCCCTCAACATTGACCCGACATGCAACTCAATCTGAACATTACGTAGGAAACGGCAATCTAGAGCTGACGTTGAAAGATGGTTGAACTCAATGTAAGGTGAGAAGAGACGAATATGCCCGACTCGAACAGCGGATCCATGCTCGCGGGGTACGACCGTTGCAGTATGGAGATATGCTCCGCAAGATGTGCCGCAGGGCGGTGGAAAGGAAATGAAGCGTGCAGCAGGCATTTTCCCAAAGTGACGTCAAGCCGGACGGCAGAGGCTCGTGTTGCACAGCGCGAGGGCATCTGGAGATGGCGCAAGAGTCGAGTAACGGTGGGAGCGGGAAGGTGGGTCCGCTGGTTGCACGGTAAGGGCGATCGAGGCGCCAAACATCTAATTTCCAATGTTCCGAAGAGCGGCCTAACGCTCGCCCAAAGGGGAAAATTATACAGAGCAGACGGCGCGACTCGGACTGGAAGGTTATCTTGCCTCGTTCTGCATGTAGAGAAAATGATGTGCTCAGACTGAGCTGCAGACGCAGAGATGGATGTCGGTCAATATGTCTGTCGGCGGCTTCTTCTCATTGGACGCGCTGGCGAGGAATGCAAAGACATGCAGGGCAAGCCTCCCTTACGGCGTGGACGGCTGAGACATGGTGACAGCGGTTTGGTCGACCTGTCTTGTTGCGAACCTCCGTCTTTGCTGCTACACGCGTGGATGTCCTTGCTGTGGATTGTCAGATGAAGTTAGGGGGCGTCATCTGGGCTTATTTGTGCTGCCCATCCCGGCAGGGCGCGTCATAACGTTCTGCGACAAAGTTGGGCGTGTTGTTGATGTTTATGTGTTGCTTTTGCTCTTGGACGCGACCCGCGGTGAGCACGCGCAGAGCAACCTCGACAGCAACGGTCATACGGATGGATAGATGACAGGAATGGATCACGCATGTCTCGCAGCAGGCGCGCGGTCAAGCGACATTCAAGGAGCCGGCGACGTCTATATCGAGGGCCAGCCCAAGATATCGCAGCAGCGCACACGGCGGGCGAGCGCATAACAGGCAATTTGCGGGCGGGTCGGTGCTGTGTGAAACAACGACCCATGGCTGCTACTCCTATTCGAGCGGCGGCGTGCAGACAGGCGCGTCGAGCGCAGACATCGAGGGCGTGGTGAAGGGCGTTGTTCGGGCGTGCGTGTTAGAGGAGGCGCTGGGAGTGCCTGGCTAGCTGTAGGCGTGAGTAATTATCGCATCTAGCAGACCAGTGCCCGCGTCCTTGCTTTGGCGGGCTGGTTTATGCCGAGCCCATGTCGATGATGTGCATCTGCCTCCTTTCCCAAGCCACAGCCTTTACCGAAATTGCCGTCAAGACCAACCTCAGCCGCGCCTTCTCTTCTCTCCACTCACGTCAATCAACACGTCGAGGTCGAGCAGCTTCTCGCCGCGACCGTTAGATAGCCGACGCGCTGCCACCGGCGCCGACTCGCACGACGGCCGCCCTTTGTGCACCCCCTCTGCACGCTCGCTGCCCACGCTGCACCTGCACGCGCATGTGAAGCTATCTAGTCTGTCGCGTCCCAATTGCTCCCAGGCCAAGGTTCAGACACACCGCACCGCCGCGGCTCCGATTTGGCCACTCTCCCCGCCAAAGCCCATTCGACAGCTCAACACCGCCAGTTGACGTTCCGCCCACAAATACTGCCAGCGCAGCTTAGGACCGATAACATAGCGCACCACCCCCCAGGCCCTGCACCCAACTCGCCGTCCCCAGATCATGGCCGCAGTGGCATCGCAGCCGCCGCATGGTCAGCAGCAGCAGTACTACCAGCAGCAACCGCCCGCCGCAGCCTCGCCCGGCACCGCTCGCCGCCCGACGTCGCGACGGCCCAGTAATGGCGCGTCGCCCAACACGCCTACCTCCCAGAACTCTCCCCCGATGAACACCGCGCCCACCACCAACGGCAACGGCAGCGGGCCCATGGCGCCCCCCAGGACCTCGTCGCACCGCTCGCCCAACACTGCATCTGCATCCTCGTCGTCACAGCCCTCGCGGACACGCGAAGAGTCACGCCGGCGGGAAAAGGACAGCCCTCGCCAGACCACCACCTCGACCCGAGCCCAGCCCGGCCATAGTCGCTCTGCCACTGCCATTGGCCAGCCGCCCGTAGGAACCAGCTTGCCCCGTGAAGAGAGCGCCGTCATAAAGCGCATCGTCGTCTCCGACACCCAGGACGACATCGCCCGCGCACAAGCACGCCAAGGAGACGGCCCGTCCGTCACGGCTGGCGCAGATCTGACTCCCATCACCGGACTCAGTCTGGTCGGCAGCGAAGGCGTCGATGATGGCGGCCGCGGCGGAAGCGGCAGCGGAAGCGGAGGCGCAGTAGGAGGAAAGAGCAGACAGGACCACTCCAAGTCGGAGAACGCGAAGCGATCCAAGTTTGGCAACTACATCCTCGGCCAGACGCTTGGCGAGGGAGAGTTCGGCAAAGTCAAGATGGGCTGGAAACGAGACAGTTCGGTTGAGGTTGCCATCAAGCTCATACGGCGAGAGACCCTGGGGAGCAATTCGAACCGCCTCCAGAAGATCTACCGCGAGATCCACATCCTTCGCGGCTTGGACCACCCCAACATCGTGCGTCTGCACGAGATGGTCGAGACTGAGCGCCATATCGGTATCATTCTAGAATATGCTTCCGGCGGAGAATTGTTCGACTACATCCTCAACCATCGCTACCTGAAGGACGGCCCAGCGCGCAAGCTCTTCTCCCAGCTCATATCTGGTGTTGGCTACCTCCACCGCAAGGGTATTGTCCACCGAGACTTGAAGCTCGAGAACCTGCTGCTCGACCGCAACAAGAACATCATCATCACCGATTTCGGATTCGCAAACACGTTCGACCCCAACGACGAGCTCAGCGAAGAGATTGAGTATAGACTCGGAGACAAAGACTACATAAGATCTCTGGGACTAGAAGGAACCGACGCAGCCCGCAGAGGTGATCTCATGCAGACCAGCTGCGGAAGTCCCTGTTACGCGGCGCCTGAGTTGGTTGTCAGCGATTCGCTCTACACCGGTCGCAAGGTCGATGTCTGGAGTTGTGGTGTCATTCTGGTGAGTTTCGAGTTTCCCCAATCTTGCATCTCGACGCACTTGCTAACTGAATATAGTATGCCATGCTGGCTGGTTACCTGCCTTTCGATGACGACCCAGCGAACCCCGAGGGTGATAATATCAACTTGCTCTACAAGTACATTGTGTCCACACCGCTCACCTTTCCTGAATACGTCACACCACACGCAAGGGACTTGCTGAAGCGCATCCTTGTACCAGACCCACGCAAAAGGGCGGACTTGTTCGAAGTTGCGCGTCACAGCTGGTTGGCTGACTACGCGCACGTTGTTGGCTTCATCACCTCAAGCAACACGAACGCGGCAGAGGCCCAACAGGCGTCCGTCTACTCGAGTAAGCTTCCAGATCCACCTTTCAACAAATGCACAGGCATTAACATGATAGCAGAAGACACGTTCGAGCCGCAGCCCACACTCGCTAGAAGCGCTTCTGTCCGTGAACCCTCGAAGCCGCACGCCGCGCCCGCAACCGCACACGGCGGTCTCCAGACGAAGCGCGAAGCGATCAACCAGGCACCTTCCGAGAAGCCAAAGACCACCCGCGACACCAAGCGACGAACCGTGCAAGTCGAATATGTCGCGCCATCATCGCAGACCGCCCGCGGCGAGGCATCCCCTCCAGTCGAGACAACTCCAAAAGCACGCGGCAAAGAGGCCGAAGTACCACCCACCGATGGATACCAGTCAACTTCGAGCGCCAAACCTCGTTCTTCTGGCACAACCTACAACTCGACCAGAAGGCAGGAGCCTCAGCGGTCCGTCTCTGATTACACAGCTTTCGGGAATGCGCCCCCATCCGCTACACGCCCATCCACTGGTGGAGCTCTAGGCACATCGAGACTACCGTCGCGAGGAAACTCCTACGGACAGCCATCTGTCGCGACCGTCGCCCAGACAAACGCAGAGGGACGCTTCTCCCAGCCAAAGGGCAAACAATACTCCATATCGGCACCTTATGCTCAGCAGCAAGAGCCGTCTGAGGCAGCTGAGCCTCCCAACATCGGTCAGTCGAGCTCGCAGCGAGTGCAGTCTGTACAGGGTCCGCCACATGGCGGAGCTGGTGGCGGGCACAGGAGATCGAACACTGTTTCTTCGACTCTCGGCCGCATGACATCCATGTTCTCTGGTCGTCAGCCTTCTTATACGCAGGATCCCAAGGAGTCATTTACATCCACAGGTTCCTACGGCTACCCTGAAGAGAAGAAACAGAAGAGCTATCCTCCCACTTCCATGGCCGGACCCATGTCCAACGAGGCGGTTTCTTCGACATCTGGCCCAAGAGCAAGCATGGAGTCAAGCCGACGGACTTCTTTCGGCTTCTCTAGGAAGAACACAGGCAACTCGGGCGACAATCCGAAATCCAGCCGCCGCTTCTCACTCCTTCCGTCTTCTCTCTCGAAGACTTTCTCTTCTCAGCGGGATAGTCTACCAGCGCAATCCTCCCACGAGCGACGCGGCTCCAGTTCTCGTCCTCGGGCTAGCTCGCGCCCCGGTGGGCCTTTCGGTCGCGTTACGGACTCGAGGTCTCCTAGTCAGAGCACCCAAGGAAGCAACATGCCCGGTCTCTACGACGGTCAACACGACAGCAACTCCAGAATACGGCAGCCCAACACGAGCGCCCCTGGACCTTCCTCGGCACCAGCGAACCAAACCCAGTTCAGCGGCTACAACCACTCGGCACCCGAGTTTGACGAAAAATTTCCCAATCCACAAGGAGCACACCCATCTGCCCAAGGAAATCGCCCGTACCGCCACCCCACGGACGACTCAGAAGCCGACATGTCGCAGTCACAGCAATTCAGTCAGCGCACTCCATCCAACCCCTACCCTGCAGGCATGGGTGGTGACGACTCCAACCAGCAGCAGAGGAAGACAGCCGTGCTACAGAAGAACCGACGTTTCGTGGATGCGTACGACGAGCAAGGCAGCGGCAACAAGGGAAGTTCGGGTAGCTCTAAGAAGGTTATGGACTTCTTTAGGCGCATGGGCAAGCAGCGAACTAGCAGCCGTTAACGCGCCAGACGAGAAGTCGATGATTCCTGAGACCGTCCCTCCAGGAAGATGGGCCACAGCAGGACGTGTGGCCAGACAGGTGCTTGGAACGATCTGGTTGTTTGACATTGGTGTGGGTGTTTTGGGAGCATACTGGCGCATTGTCTACGTTTCTTTCCTCTCTCTCTCTCTTTTCCCTTCCTCTTGGAACTTGTTCGCTCTGCTTGTTCTAGCTTGTGCTCGCTGGATACCACATATTCACGCACATGCGACTCTGTTTACGCTTTTTTTATACTCTTCCAACCATCATCAGCGTGCGGCATGCTGAGGTAATTATTGCATTAGCAGGCGTTTTCTTTTTTTTCCTTTTCCTTTTTTCACTTGATGGCAACGCAAGATTGTGGGTTACGTTGCCAGGTAATCTTTACTCTCTCAGCTCGCTCTTCTTGGAGAGGGAGATGAGGCTGCTTGTTTAGTGTAGTCGTAGTTGTAGTATACAGGGTTTGGGTGAGGCGGTGGAAAGTGGAATTGATATGTTGGAATGTTCGAAATTGTTGATTTGATGCGTGAGACTGGATGCTTGATATGTTTTGTGGAGATCGAGGAACGCCTGTGCTTCTTACCCAGCTTGATACGGCATACGACGTGGGAGGAACTGAGAATGCTTTGTACATCGTGATGCGTACGAAGGGAGTACTATCTCAAGGGAACGAATGTGAAATAACACGTAGAATAGCAAGAGGCCAGTCACACAAACTCGATCAAGCATAGAGCATTGTAACGCTAATGAACGATCAAGTACTTCCGCTAATCCATCTGCACCCCATTTATATAGCCTTATCACATAGCCCAGGGTATCATCCGGTCTAGTTGCAGCCCCATGAACAAACAAAGACCCTGGCAAATGTTGCAATCCCAACCGCCTTGCACCCTCCCACGAGAAATTCTCTATGAAGGCGGCAACTGCCCACCCTCCTTCGTCTTTCCCACAGGCGGGTTCGGCTTCGTACCCCCGGCGGAGTTTAAGCTACTCAAATAGCAATTCCAGCCCAGCGAAATCACATTAACAACCAAGACGCGCATCTCCTGAGGCACGTATTTGAAGTTGGTAAACTGGACCCAAGGCCAAACCATCAAGTTCTTCTGGTAGCCCGGCAGATAAGCGTCCTTGAGGCGCTGGACGGGCGAGTTGCCCTCCATGTATGCCATGGTGGAGAGGAAGAGGGCCATGTTGCAGGGCGCGAAGAGGAACTGGTCGCAGGCTACGCGCGCGAGGATGGTGCCATTTGTGGATTGCAGGTTTACGCGCTTGACGAGGAAGTCGAACCATTTTGTTGCGGCGGGGCCGAAGATGCCTGGGCGTGCTTGTTAGTATGGCGGATGGAAAGGGGTATGGAGGAGGGGGAGACGTACAGCCTCCGTAGGCGGCCATGCGTCCTGTACGCGCGAGGTCGTGCTTATCGAGGCCGCGGCGCTCGACTCCTTGCTGGGCCATTGTGTCGCCCGTTGCGAAGAGTACCTGCAGCATGCCATGTCAGTTTCCGTGTTTCGGCATGCCAGCTGCTCAATCCCTCTCTCGTTCTTATATATCGACTTGTCGGATGTGCTTATCGGCCTGCTCGCTGGCTGGCTACCAAGTCGCATTGCGTCGCGCAAAGAGGAATTGAAGACTCGCAGTTCGAGATAAAAGACGTGCATACCGCGGTAGTGATACTCTGCGTCAAGTAAGGCGACGTCCTAAGCTTTGCCTGGTACCTGTCATCCGAATTAGCATTATCCCCTTTCCCATCAGACGGTTCTCCACCGCTTTTCCCAAGTGACGTACCAGCGAAACGCCATTTTGAAGGTGATGGGAGAAGTCAATCGCCTCAGCAGCTAAAGATGTAGCACGTATAAATACGACTGAGAGCGAGCGACACGACCGCGAAAAAAAGGGTGCGAGAGTGGAGAAGGTGTGTGTGGAAAAAGTAAGTCGAGTAAGTCTAGCAACGTAAGTTTGGTGAGCTTGCGGGACCCGATGATGTCGTGCAGGGTCCCGCGCCCGCACATGGCGGTCGGGGAGCTTCGTTAGCTTTTGAACCCCTTGATCTCCACTGTCAGGCTATCGGGCCTCGACCGTGAACAAGTATTTATTCACGTACACAATTCTGGATGCAAGAATCAAAACAAGACAGGGTTTACTGGCATGATGGGCAAGACAGAGTCAGTTCATAACGCAATTCAATTCCGAGCTCGTCTGTTCATGGTGGGGTATAATATGAGCAGACACCTAGTTACAAAAAGGACCGACAGTTGTTGTACAAAAGGTCGTAAAGGAAGAAATAAGGAAACAATGCGGGTTGGTATAACTCCTCGTACGTGATGCGACATTGCAATCCGTCCCATCTTCAACCTGATATCTCCGCATATAGCCCAAAGGAATCCCTAGATGAAAGAACGCCAGTCCCGCTGATCTCATCCGGGTATGATGAAGCTATGCTCGCAGAAAGCAGGTATCCAAGAAGTCATGTCGTAAATTTTGTGTAATGGGGTATGTAAAAGAGCGCCTAGTCGATTTCCATCCGTTGTGATGGCGCAGGTCCGCTCAATGATGGCATCTCTGTGTTGTATGTCTTGTCGTTCTGGACGATCTTGTCGTTGACATGGGGCTTCAAGCCCTTGTTGAAGTTGTGTGTGCACAAGCACGCGGTGACAATGGTAATGATGAGTAGGAGGATGGTGAGAATGGCAAAGGCAGTCAGCGACTTGCGGGCTGGCTTGTAGTCCTCCTGGCGGCTGGCATCGGCGACCCACATCCGGATGAGCTTGAACAGGAAGTAGCCGAGAGCAATGAAGTAGACGACGATGATACCAATCATTCCAGCGACAGACTCGCGACGGACCCACCAGGCGGCGAGGAACAAAAGGAAGAAGGTGATGACGAGGGCGGCTGCGGTAAGGATGAGTTCGACTGTCTTGGTGTTCTTGACGACGACCAGAAACTGCACGGTGAAGGCCAGGAAGAAGAAGAAGTCGAACTTGAGGAGAGCGATGTAAATCTATGTCGTAGTCAGTAAGGCGCGCATGTATGGTATTGGACAAGCAGTACCTGGTAAGTCAGATAGCGCCTCTTCAGTCTTGTGTCGGCACTGATGCGCTTGTAGATGGTCCAGGCAAACTCATCGTACAGCTTCCATGCTTCGAAGGCGAAAATGAGAGTCGCGACAGCCATCAGCACGGGCAGCGCGATGAGCATAGGCTTGACGTCGTCCCAGAAGTCTTGAGGGATGAAGCGGCGCGTGTTGAGGTCGTCGGCGGCGTCCTTGATCTGATCGAATTGGATAGCGGCATAGATGAGAATGCCGATGTTGTAGAGAACGAGACCGATGACCTGAATGGTGTTCTTCATGCGCAGGGCATCCCAGGTGAGAAATAGTTGGTAGACGTAGCCGAACATGAAGACGGCGAGGAAAGTGGGAATCGTGCGGGTCTCGTTGGCGCCTGCACCAGAGGCCGCGAAATGGATCTCATTCTGGAACTTGCTAAAGACATATCTGATGGGGTGTTAGCAGGCGCATGGTGGTGCGGGTGGCGCAGAGGCAGACGTACGACTCTAGGGCGAGGGCAATGCCGACCTGGCAGATGGCCGTGAGCATAAAAGCCCAGGTCCACCGCGTATTCGGAACGTACATCCTCGGTGGGCGGCGCACGACGGGTGGGAGGGTGGTGGGGAAGCCTTCGCGGTGGTGATACCCCCCAGGCTGGGTATCGAAAGAGGGCTGCGGTGGGTATGTTGGTTGATACGTCGTGTTGGGGTAGGGCGCGTAGCCGCGGTCGAGGGGTTGGCCTCCTAGGAGGGAATGGCGGGCCTCGTGGTGAGTAATTTTGGCTATGGTGGCAGCCGCGATGGGCGGCTGGAGCGTGGGGATATAGAGGCGGGTGGTGAGGCGGGCGTGGTGGTGCGGCGCAGACAAACTGCGACCTGTGTCGTGGTGCGGTTTGTAGGGCTGCCGGGGTACTTGAGACAGAGGACGGGCGCTGGGCGGACTGCTGAAACCAAGGGAGTCGCTGTCGTCGGGGGAGCAGGTGAGCGCGCGTCGCTGAAACTAGTATCTTGGCTATGCGGAGAGGCCGAAGAAGCAACAGGCGATGACGAGCGACGGGTCGGAGATGGGGATACTTGGTGATAAGGAGCGATATCGACGGACAACAAGACGAGCGAGCGGCGGTGGGAGGTGTTGTTTGTTAAGATTTGGGAGTGGGCGGAGATGGGACGGCTGCTGCTAGGTGGACGCAGGTGCTGAGATGTGCGCAAAGTAGCGCCTGGGAGAGCCCCGGCCGGTGTGGAGAAAGGCTGAAGGGGGTCTCGCCGTAAGACCCGCTCGCTGCTCCGTGTTTACTCTGCGTCAACGGTAGCCTGGGTGAGGCTTTGTGGATATCAAAATACGAAGCACGAGAATGCGCACGTCGGGCGGTCTGACTTCTACAAGTACGGACGGACTGTTATGCTGCGGCGCGGCCCAAGCCTTTGGCTGCTCAGCTGCTTGTCGCTTTTGGCATCCTCGCACGCGCACAAAGCTTGGCCCCAGCTGCTGCTGAACCATCGCCCACCTGCACCGCCCGGCGATGCCCGCTGCTCATTGGCCCGCCTGCGCTATCTTTAGATTGCATCTGTGGCGCAGGCCTCGAGCACTACGGTAGCAGTCCAGCGCAGTGGAGCTCAATCTGCCGTCATTTTGCGCGACACCGACAGCTTTCCCGTCACTTGCTTGGGCCAATCACACAGCCATATCTGACATCATTAAGGACGCGTAGTGCACAGGGTCGCCGTTTCGACTGACGCAGTATCGGCCCGCCAAAAGCAGCCCCATCGCGAGTCGCGCCTCTACCACCACCACGACACCCACGCGCCGCAGCCATGACGTCTGGTGAGTTTGGGATTCTAGGGTCCTGGCAACGCGGCACCTACTGATGCTCCTCCAGCAGAGTTAATCCTCCAGAAAGCTGCCGAGGACGGCTCCCTCGATTCGTACGTCCCCACCCTAGAGCCCACGTCCGGCGCATGCAGCATCTAACGCGCCCGTGTGTAGAGCAGAATGGCCAAAGACACTGCAGTACATCTTGGATCGCCTTGATGAGGTAATCCCGAGCTACCCATATCCACACCCATCAACCCTGACCCTCGCAGATCATCACCGACTTCCCCAAGCCACCCGCAGACGCACTCCCCAGGCCGACCACGTCCGCGACCACCGACTTGCCCTCGCGACCCAACACGTCCAATGCCATATCCAGCCAAGACTCGCATGCCACCGACAAAGAGAACGCACCGCCGGCCACGCCTCCGCGACCGCCTGTGCCCGCCTTCTCCGCCTCGACCGAGTCGCAAAGCGTACCAACAGACGTCACCACCTTCTACTCCTCAATACGCTCCACCCTCTCCAAGAACTTCGCGAACCATCCCCCGCATACCGTCCAACGTCTAGCTGAACTCATACTCGAGCCCAAGAAACGCTACCGATACCTGCCACCCTACCTCCGCGCACTCGACCGTGTCGTCTCCGTCTCCTCGCCCCTCACCATCTTCCCTCTGCCACAAGCCGTGCTGCCGACTTCCAGCGGACTGCTCAATGGCACCACATCTACCACTACGCAAACAGCGCAGCTAGGTTCAGACGAGGCACTAGGCGGAGCCCTACTCACTCCCATCCCTTGGCTTCAGAACCGCGGCCAGAACGAGCTTATTTCAGAAAGCACCGAAATGGTCGACGGTCCCAATGGTGCTGGACGCATAGAAACAGTGACGGTGGGAATGCTGAGTGGTCAGCGCGCAGAATCTCCCACCTCGAATGTAGCCCAAATTGCTTCGTCACATCCCGAGGGTGAAACGCTGCCGTCTACAGGGCCCGTCACTCAAGGCGAACTTCTGCGCCAAGAACAAGAGGCCGGCATTGTTTTGAACAACCCCCACAGCATGACCACTAGCCCGACAAGGACTACATTCGGCGAGATGGAAGGCGGAGGTACCATCGTAGACACCGTCGAGGGCGAGGAAGAAGCGCCACATGCCCGAGGTCCAGAGGTCATTGGCATGGAAGATACCGGTCCGCAAAAGCAGGGAAAGCTCAACATTGAAGGAGCTATTGGCAGACCGAGCCTTGATCACAAGAGCCCAGAGCCAAAATTACCAGCTAGCACAGACGCCAAGGACCAAGAGATGAAAGATGGAGGATCTGAGAAACCCAGTGACGCAAAATCGGGAGATGAAAAGTCCAAAGAAGATGCGCCAGCGAAAGAGGAGACGAAAGATGCAAAGGACGTGGAAATGAAGTCGGATGATTAGGCGTCAGACACTTCCCGTGGAGAGGAAGAGACGACTTCGAACACAGTTGTTGACGAAATTTTGAATCTACTGAAGTCCTATATGCCATCCTGACGTTCCGCCTCCTGGGTCTTGTCAGCCGGGCAGATTGGACGTTCTACGGCGTTCAAGCAGGTTTGAATAGGAAGGGAGTGAGAGCTATGCAACGGATGATATCTCGACAGAGTGCACAGGAGTCAAGTTCAGAAGTATGGGGCAAGTGACCGGAGTGCAGTAGAAAGACTTGAATAAGACACTGGCACGAACGCTCTAGCAGTCTGGATGGATACAGATAGTTGCTATCATCGTGCTCTAATTACTAGCATCATTCAGCCATTGGTTACGAAGCACTTGATAGCATCGTCAAATTCCGGCGCAGCCATCACTCAAGACCCACTGCCGTCTCAACGTTTTCTTGTTTTCACCTGCAGCGATCATGTCCACTTATCCTGACAAACCAAAGCATGTCTCACTGAACACGTGGAGAACAACCATCGAGAAACCATAAACAAACTTCAAGTTTGTTTCGCTATCAAAATCCTGCTAGTCTGATTACATCACCACCATCTAATCAACCTTCTTCCACCAGAGGATACCCCTATACCCATTACCTCGCTCACTTCCAATCTTCAGATACTTAACTTCTTCCCCATTCTCCTCCACCTCAACAATCGTATAATTCCTCTTCCCCTTCTGCCCCTCCCAAGTCGGCACATTCGCCACAGTAAGCGGGCCATGGAAAATCTGGCCCTCCGTCTCCGTCGCAGGTATCTCCTCGTTAACGCTGTACGGGCCCGCGTACCCAATGCTGTGCTTGCCGACGAGCGCCCAATCGGCATCTGAGTCGTCAGGCTGGTATGGGAAGGTGAGGTTAGGTCGGAATTCAGGTTCAGTGGCTGTGATGGTGGCGGACATGAAGCCGGATTCTGTGTAGATGAGCAGGCCGACGGGGGCTTTGCCGTACGGGAGGTCGGGGATGGGTTCGCCGTTGCGGGAGCTGGATGTGTTTACTAGGGAGTAGGTTCCTGATAGGGCTTTCAGGATGGGGTTGGTGTCTGTGTTGTCCCTGGCTTTGGGAGGGTCGGTGGGTTCTTCCTCTTCAGTTCGGGGCTTGATTTTGGCTGGTTCCGCCTTGTCGCAGGGACTGGGAGGATCGGTGGGCTCAGGATCCGCTGCTCTAGGCATACCGCGGAGTTGAATAGTCTCCGGCGGGTCAGTGTGCTGGCGTGGGGCATTCTGTCTCTTCCCTGGAGCTTGAGGCGCGGGTGTAGGGGGAACCTCGCGTTTAGTTGGTTTGAGGATTGATTCTTGTCTTCGGACAGCTGCTTCTGCGACTGGAGTTGCACGTGCGAATCGGGGTGGTACGAAAGATTCCTGGCGCTGAACCAGTTCGGGCGCGGGTGTGGGAGCCTCGCGTTTGCCTCCAGGAGCGTACCATACAGCACTGTCCTGTCTTCGGACAGCTGCGAATGGGGGTGGTGGTACGAAAGACTCCTGGCGCTGAACCAGTTCGGGTGAGGGCGTGGGAACCTCGCGTTTGTAATGATCACTCCATTGCGGGGCCGCAGATGCCAGAGAGGCGAAGAGAATTACAGGAGCAATGGAGACTCGCATCCTGCAGTATAAGATCGGCGATGGTGCTGGTAACAGTTGAGCACTTTACAAGTGGTATCAGACTGGAAACATTTCGTTGCGCATGAAGCAGACAGGGTGCTTTATACCCAGCGACGCAGTGACATGATCGACATTTGAACCACTTCGTTACACACGATCTGGACGACGTGCTTGTCCTTCAGGCGTCACAATTACGCCGAATCGATATCTCTTGTCCGTGCAGGCCAAGCGTAGCGTGAGCGAATGTCAATTTCCGGGATGTGGCCGTCGGCGTTTTGCGGGGGATCCTCGCCCAAGTCGATCCGAGAATCGATCCTTTTGATCCCCAATCTAGAGCGCATAGCTGAGCAGCCCATCTTTAAAAGATGCTAGGTCTTTCGCAAACAGTGTCGAGAATCTTGTGTGAGTTTTGAGATTGAGATGTTGAGTTGACGGTCGGGAATAAGTCACTCTGCCAAGGTATGTACCACAGGTCACATGTCGGGGCTGAGCACGTAAGCATCCATCGTGTAAACCTTGGAAACGACCGTTAGTGCGAAACACCAAGACACTCTATAGGGAACGACTTACAACATGTCAGCACGATGTACGGTTACAGCCTGACAGCGGCATCAAGCCAGGAGACTCGCGTGTCTAGCATCGTTTTGCGGCGCCGAAGTTTCACCACCGCCACGATCAAAACCCGGGAAAGTGAACACCCCAAGATTCGCGATGCAATTCACCAGTCGGCCCCCAAGGCTTGGTGACCACCGCGACGGCTGTGGTGTTGATCTTTGCGCATCGGCGGCAGGAGCGTCCCTCATCTCTGTATCCCCGCCAAGGTCTTCTCCGTCCATCTTTGCAGCCTCGATCTGCAGCTGCTCCATATTCGCGACATGGACGTCGAAGTTCTTGCGATATCCACTGGTATCGATGATTTCGCTCCCCTCCGGAACTGCCCATTGTCCCTTCACGTACCGTCGTCTATGCCTGCACATCGAGCTCCTAGCAACGTCTCTCGGAGGCCCGTTGCGGCTCAGCGGGATGACGTAGTGAGGGCGAATAGGGTTCGAGCCGTTCGCGACTGGTGTAGCGGGAATAAGCTCTCGTGTGACCTCGAGTGGAGTTGTGCGAAGAACGCCCATCCTAGGCCTTTTTGGAGAAGGCTCGAGGAACTCTTCTGAGAGTGAGCATGATGCCTTACGGAGCACATCCACGTCGGCATCTGTACGAACGTAAACATTTTCGTTCCATGAAACGCTTGCGCCTTCTCGTCGGCGCTTTCGCCTAGGCAGTTGCTCTGCGACATCGGTCCTTTGAACCTTGGGGATATCAGATTCGTTGAGAAGCTTATGCTGGATTTTCTTGAGCGATTTCCATCCTAGATCTTGTTCATGACCATCTCGGTCAGGGAAGTCTGGATCACTTGCGATTGTCCAGCGCCGACCACGGCGTTGACTGAAGAACTCGCAGTCCTCCTCGACACGACCGATGAAGCCGTTGTGTTCAGTGTCTCTGTACCAGTGCAGTGCAGCTGTAGCACTGTACTGCTTCCTGAGTCGGACATGTTGCACGTGAACGTCCTTGTTCTCAGGAGGCTGTTTCGCTTCCCAGGCCAGCTCCATCTCGGAAAGATCTTCTATCTCGTTGATCAAGTTGACTAGGTTTCTTTTGCAATGTCTGTAAGACACATCTGTTCCATTCACATTCTTCCCCTTCTTACCACCCAGACTGGCGACATGGTAAGTCGACTTAGCATAGTGACCCTCGAGGTTCTCTTTCCATTGAGACAAGCCATCATGGGCGTTGATGAACTCTTGGATGTGCTGGAGTGTCTTCATTGAGGCATCCACTATACACATCAGGCACATGGCTTTGGCGTAATTCTCGCTATAGACGGGATGGATTGTGTGTCCACATGCGTTTAGAGGCGGATATTGAGGTGGTTCCGATCGACGGTTTTGCGCGAAAGTTGGTTCATGGTTCGTCGGGCGGCCATTCGGTGGCGCCTTTTCATGGCTGTGCTTAGAATGCGTTTCTGGTGTTGAAGAGGGACTGGAGTCAATCGCTTTCTTTCCCGAAGAACGACCGTCCAACGATGTTCGCTTTTTCTTTTTCGCTGGTGAAGGTTGGTTTCCCCCGTTACCTCCGTACTCGTCTGAATTGGCGCGTTCTTTGCGCTTGCCTATGGACGTATTGGCGTCATGTGTTCTTGGAGATGGCTTTTTCGCAGTGGCCGCCGACTTCGCAGGCCGCGCTGGAAATGGGGATTCGGGAACGCTAAATGAGCCCATTTTGTTGGATGTTATGCTCGTAAGCTTCGTGTACGCAGATGTTGCGATGGTGGGGATGTATTGGAGGAACGAGTTCGAATGCACAGAGGACGTGAGTTGTGGCGCGTTGAAAAGCACTGCAATACCGTTGAGCGCCATTGTAGAGAAAGGACGCTCGGACTGAAATTGTGTGACGTCAAACGCTGTTAACCTTGCGCTGTTGTAGTTGTTGTAGGGGAGTGAAATCGGTGAGTCTTCGGCTTTCACTTCCACTTCTCAAACATCCACCGACGACACTATGGAAAGCACGACTACATGTCTTAGCGCTATTGTACGAGGTAACGCGCGAAAATTGATTTGGCACGAAAATACCACATGTGGATTGTAAGCCTTGGTTTCAACGCATCTCAACCATGGTTCTCAGCAAAATCCGAATGGCCTGTAAGTATGTGGGTACGCCGACTGTTTTTTAGATTTATTTTGATATTAATCTGGGACAATCCTACGTTAAGGGCGGCCAAAGTGGAATATGTATGAGACACTTCGTGAGACATGCATAATGCATTCGATGCAAGTGTCTGTAGGTGTCTACGCACCGGGAAGGTTTCCAGTGTAGGTAGCAAGCGGTACAACGACTGAATGCTTCACGCCGACCCTGAGGCTGATTTGGAAGTACGCGAATGATCTTCGGGTCTGGCAGCTTAAAAAAACATCCATATTGATACGGGAACCATCAAGTGTCGAACACAAGTCTTTGATCCATTTTCACTATGCTTTCTTCTACAATCAAACTCGACCTTACGCGTCAACGCATTCCCAGCTCTCGATAACATCAGGGTTACCGCCCTTGTACTGGTTGACCTTGGGGAACTTGCAATGGGCGCGCTCAAACTCAACGCCTAGAGCGACGGTGTCGTTGACGAACTTCGTTCCGATAAGTGTCTCGGGTGCGTTGCCGTTTTCTACCCAGTCAACCAAAGCCATGAGTACGTTGTGGCTGGTCTCGTATCCGTTGACCTCGCCCACACCCTGGCCAATGGCGTGCGCACCCTCTCCTCCACCGCAGTGACCAGTTCCACTGACAAGGAAGTAGCGGTAAAACTCGTCAAGCTCTTCAGAGGACAGACCCATAGTAGAAGTGACGTGTTCGTAGTAGCGAGCAGAGTTATCGGATGAGATGACAAAGTCCGCGCCGCCATGCCAGTGTAGCACCTTGGCGCCGCGGTCCTTCATTCCGCTCAAATCACCCTTGAAGGACTCGATCCCAAAGAGGTTCAGTTTTGCGGCGTAGTCGTAGTCCTCGGAGCTGAGAGTTGCTGGATCCCAGCTAGGGTCGTTGTAGATAGCGTAGCGGAACCAATCTGTGGTGTAGGGGAAGGGCTGTCCGTTGATGATAGCGCCAGCCGCAATCACCTCAGCACCAGGCTGCAGACGGGGATAGACTAAGTCTCCTGCATCGTTGAGAAGTGGCGAGTAAACTCCCTTGACTGTCTCTAGCTGCTCAGGCGTAAGGCAGGTAGTGGTGTTGCTGCCCTCAGCGCAAGCTAGGCCCGAAGGGTCATACTGGCAAAGCAAGGGAGCCTCAAGGATGCCATCCTCGAGGTTGTCAAGCTTGTCGCATTGCTTCAAGACATCAGCGTGAATCTGCACCCACTTCGACTGCGGAACGAAAGCGGACGACGAGTTTGCTGGGCCAGTGAGGGTGTAGAAATGTCCACTCCATGAGGTAAGGTTGTTGAACGCGAAGGCTGGTGCGCCCGCAACAATGCCGTCGAAATCGTCTGGGAAATCTTGGGCAGACTTCATGCCCTGTCTGCCTCCGGTGGAGCATCCAAGGTAATAGGACTTGTCGTGCGGTTTGCCGTAGAAGTCTTCGGTGATCTGCTTTCCGACCACGACACCAGTATGTAAACTAATATTGGTCAGCCAGTCTCTAGCATGCCAACACAAGGATACCTACGCTCGGTATGCAAAGTCTTCCACAACATCTGAGTTATTATAAAACGGCAAGCCACTCGTGCCATCATGACCGTTATTGGTCCCAACAGCAGCGAAACCTAGACCAACCGCATAGGCCAAGTCGTCGTAACTGATGCAACCATTCAGACCGCCATTGCCCCCAGAGAGAAATCGTCCCGTCCAGTTGGCTGGGAGGAACGCCTCCATCCTGAAGCCAGAACGCTCAGAAGTCGACACATTGAGCGCGACACGGCACATGTCCGCTGTGATAGCTGGCGGTGCTGCGGCACATGTTTCGTCGTATACGGGTACAGTCAGGTTCGTACCAGCGGCGACAAACTCGGCCGTTGTAACAACACCACCATCGATGTGAAGTTTAGATGCAAGTTCCGCACACTTCGAGCTGAAAGCGGCCGGTGCCGTGCCGTTTGTGGGGTAAGATGCTGACTGTGGGGCGGCGAATACGACGGAAGGCGCATTCAGCAGCGCACATTGGAGTGACTTGTCGAACCTCATCTTGACAGTAAGCCAGATAGATTGAGTAAGAACCTTAATCCAAGATTTTGGGAATGCATCTTCTCTTTATTCTACCGAAAACTGGGTCTTCGTCACGGTACATTACTAGCGTTCGCCTCCGTGCCTGGGGCAGGATAAACGAATAACAGAAGCTGGGGCATATTTGGGGTGCTCCGTTATGCAGCCCTGCAGGGACGTGCCGCGATGACGATCTTTGGCGACACCAAACACCGAATTGTACAAGAAGCATGCGAAGAAGCTGGGGTAAAGGTCTACAACTACCGAGGCAACACTGGGAGGCTCACGTGATCGCACTTCAAATTGAATGTTTCGTTCTGTTGCACAACTGCCGACGGGTATTCATGCTGCGTGTACGCGTAGCTGGTGTACTTGGTGATGCCGATGCATCTGCCGATGAGGGCGCGGAGGCGACACTAAGAAGGTGGTTACTTGCTGTAGAACATTTTAGCAAAACATATAAGAGCCGGCCCGATTTGGCCTCTTGTCATGTCCTGTCAGTGCTGTCGTGCGATCGTTGGAGGTTGGGGCCGGCGCTGCGCGTCATGCGGAACATTGAAGCCGATGGGCGGAGTTCTGCCGCCAGGGGAGGAGCGATCTGCGCGTGCGGGTGGGCCCAACGGTGTATTGATTATAAGTCGGGGTATTGATAACAAATCGGCGTTCCATCCAAATTGCGATGGACGTGAAATCGGTAACTGGGATCGCGGAAATTGAGCGACTTTTGGTCGATGAAGCAGGAATAACATTTACTCGCAGGGCATGTACCCCTTAGCAACTAGTCAGGTACCATACTCCGCATCATATAGCACTAGCAGCATCAAAAAGACCTTTGCAGGCCGTTGCAACTCCTCACAGCTCCCTGGGACCACAAATCGCATTCCTACAATCTCGAGGACGTAGCAGAACCCTTCATCATGTCAGCCGCCCTTCGTGCGCAGAAAGCAAGACTGACACTATCCTTCATGCCACCTCATACCTTCCAAACCTTGCCGGCAAACTCCTCAACATCCTGCCAGAGCTCTTTCGGTTTTTCCAGAGCAGCAAAATGTCCACCGCTTTCGTGCTGCTTATAGAATACCAAGTTTGTTTCTTTCTCCAAGATGCTCTTGATGCCTGGGGCCAGTTCTCGTGGGAAGAACGAGAAACCGAGTGGCTTCTTAGGCGCGCCGATGTCCCTAGCACCCGATCCAAAGAGCGCGCGATAGGGATAGATAGAACGAGCAAAGCTTTCGGTGAACCAGTAAAGTGACACATTGGTGAGCGTCTCGTCGAGGGACGGGTCCTCATCGCTCCATTCAAGAAACTTCTCACCGATCCTGAACGACATTAGTGGAAACATCTCTCTACGTAAAACGATGATATTACCATGCAAGGAGTGCGAGCGGGCTCGATGCCAACACATTCCCAATCGTACTGGGTCTCGAGCCATGCTCCTGAGCGTAGGCCGTTCCGCTAGTTGCCCATTCCTTTGCGTAACCGAGGGATTTCTTCTCTACCTCATTCAAAGGAGTGTTCTCGTCCGGCTTAGGAAGACCACTTATCAGGTTCACTGGTACATCAGAATCAGAGTAATCGATATATGGAGTTGGACTTACAATGCAATGCTACACAGGAGTCGTACAATTGGCTCATCATTTGCGCCGTAAAGCTGCCAACGTCTCCTCCCTGGGCGAGGTACTTGTTGAAGCCCAGATTCAGCATCAGCTGGTTCATGACGCGACTGCTGTCTGCCAGAGTCCATTCCTTGTCTACCGACTGCACGGTACTCAGGGTGTACCCGGGCAGTGAGGGCACGACGATGTGGTATGGTAGGTCCTTGGCTGAATACTTCTCCTTGATCAACGTCAACATAGGCAGAAATTCGAGGAAACTTCCTGGCCACCCGTGCATGAAGATGATGGGGATGGCATCTTTCTTCTCAGAGAAAAGAGCGACAAAATGCATATCGACGTCCTCGATTTGCATCTTGTAGTTCGGGAACGAGTTGATGTGTTTTTCCTGCGCGCGCCAGTCGTACTTGTTCAGCCAGTAGTCCTTTGCATCGGACAGCCACTTGCGGGACACGCCAAAGCGGCGGTCTTCCTGTCGCCCTTCCCAAGTTTCAGGTGCCAGCTTGGAGAGCTGGAGGAGTTGACGCCATTCCGAGATGTCTTGGTCAGAGACATCAAGGGTGAAGGGTTTGGCGGAGTCGGGTGGTGAATAAGACATGTTCGTGATGAAAGAGGTGTTCTCAAGTGTAATGGAGATCAGGCATCCGCGGAGAGCATTCGACCCTTTTATACTCGCCAGACTACACACGAATTATAGTGGGTTTCGCTAGGCAGCCTTCACAACGGAGTGGGGTACATGTACTATCCTGGGCTACGGGCGGAATGAACAAGCTCATCATCCGCTGTGGATCTCTCTGGACCAAGGAGATTCCGTGGAGCCCTTGGAGTGGTTCCGGTGCCTCCGAGCATCTAATACTGATCGTACCTTGGGATTCCATGTTGGTGATTACAGTTCGCTAGTTACCTGCGCTTCAGTCTGGACCTCGGTTCGCACGCTAGGCCAGGGAGACAGTAACGAGAGGAGACGAATCCAGTGTCCAAAGTCAACCAGTAACTTGCAAATACAAAGGGTGAGCAGGGTGTGCGAAGGTATCTCTCGGAACGGAAACAACAGCATCCAGAGGTTATATATTAATCCGAGGCTTTCCGGTAAGTGCGACGCGTCTGAAGCGCGTCGGTGCTTACGTTGTTGTCGTCATCGCCGTAGTGGGGCAGCCCGCCCCGCGATTTGGCATCTGCTAGTTCTGGAACTTTTTCTACAATGAACTAGCGACTCACGCATCAAGTGTGAATCACACTTTCTGTCCAAACCTCAATCGCACCAAATTCTACACCATGGCACCAAATCTGGTTGCTGCGATTGATCTGGCTGCTTACACGAAATCTACCCAAGGCCTTGATGTTCAAGCATTGTCCTTTGTCGGCAACGTTTTTGTTCGAGTCACCGACGAGACCATCGATGAGACCCTCTCCCACCTGAAGCAATCGGTAGGCCGCTTCGCCAACTATCTAGGTGTTGCTTCCGTCACCTCAATCGACGATGTCGTATCTCTCCTCGATGCCGGCGCCGCCAAGGTATTCGTTACCCGCCAGCAATTAGATCAGCTCAAGACATTGAAGATCGACCAAGACAGGATAGTGCTGTGCTTGCCGGGAAACACAAAGGAAGAGATTATAGAAGCTATCGCGGGCACATCAGTGGACATCTACGCCCACCAAGTGGAGGATGTTGGCCTCGTCGAAGCATGGCTAAAGGATTACGGAACAGATCGACCCAACGTCTTCGTCTCGTTTGCGAAGCCGAGCATGGAGAGCGTTCTGAAGCTAGCAAAGCTATCCGCGATACCCATCATCTCCGCCGAAAACCTCACGGTCGACCCGTCGAAACAGACCAACGCGTTGAGCGTCGCGAAGCTATTCATGGCCAACGCAACGAGCGACCGATCCGACGGCCTTTTCACAACTCTCGTCACAGATGAGCGGGGAGTCGCCCTCGGGCTCGTATACAGCAGCGAAGAGAGTGTCGCGGAGAGTCTCAAGACTGGACGGGGTGTATACCAGAGCCGGAAGCGAGGGTTGTGGTACAAGGGCGAAAGCAGTGGTGATGTCCAAGAGCTGGTGTCATTAGCGCTGGACTGCGATAGCGACTGCTTGCAGTTTGTGGTGCGACAGAAGGGCAGGGGATTCTGCCACCTTGCAACCCCCACTTGCTTCGGCGAGTACACCGGCCTGTCGAAACTACAAAAGACCCTCCAGAGCCGGAAAGATTCAGCACCGGAAGGCTCATACACCGCGCGACTCTTCAACGACTCACAGCTGTTGAGGGCAAAGATACTAGAGGAGGCCACCGAGCTGTGCGACGCGAACAACAAAGATGAAGTCGCGTTCGAAGCTGCTGATCTTTTCTACTTTGCTCTCACCAAGTGCATAGCGTCTGGCGTGTCATTGGAGGATGTCGAGCGCAACCTCGACGCGAAGAGTATCAAGGTCAAGAGGCGACAGGGTGATGCTAAGCCGGCCTTTGCCGCGCAAGCAGCTGCAGCAACGAACGGCGCGACTAACGGTACAACAAATGCCCCAACGAAGGAAGAGATTAAAGAAGCCGCTTCAGTTCCGAAGAGCAAGGATGACCCCGCCGGCACAAAGGACGGTCGCATCGCGATGCGAAGATATGCAACCGCAAACGAGACACCAGAGACTATCAGCGCCACCCTTCAACGACCATCTCAACGCTCGACCGACAAGATTCTGGGTATATGTCTACCGATCATCGAGGCGGTTAGAACTCGCGGAGACGCTGCGTTGCTGGAATACACACACAAGTTCGAGAAGGCTACGTCGCTTACCTCGCCTGTACTGAGAGCACCGTTCCCTCCGGAGCTCATGCAGTTGAGGCCTGAGACGGCCAAGGCCATTGATGTGTCATTTGAGAACATCAGGAAGTTCCACGCTGCACAGAAGGAGGACAAGCCACTGAGAGTAGAGACTATGCCCGGCATCGTGTGCTCACGATTCGCTCGACCGATTGAGAGAGTCGGCCTGTACGTGCCTGGTGGAACAGCTGTGCTTCCTTCTACAGCGCTCATGCTTGGTGTACCTGCCATGGTCGCCGGTTGCAAGAAGATTGTTCTCGCGACCCCACCGCGTTCTAATGGCCAAGTTACTCCCGAGGTCGTCTACGTTGCCCATAAGGTTGGCGCAGAATCTATCGTTCTCGCTGGTGGTGCGCAAGCCGTCGCGGCAATGGCATACGGTACTGAAAGCGTGACCAAGGTCGACAAGATCCTCGGCCCGGGTAATCAGTTCGTCACCGCAGCGAAGATGCACGTTTCCAACGACACGAATGCCGGTGTGAGCATCGATATGCCTGCGGGACCGAGTGAGGTGCTCGTCATTGCGGATGCGAATGCAAACCCTGCCTTCGTCGCATCGGATCTTCTTAGCCAAGCTGAGCACGGTGTCGACTCTCAGGTCATCTTGATTGCAGTTGGAATGAACGAGTCACAGCTTGTTGCAGTCGAAGACGAGCTTCACAAGCAGGCAAGCGCACTACCACGAGTAGACATTGTTCGTGGGGCTATCGAGCACTCCTTCACACTTGCAGTAGACACAATGGAGGAGGCTATGCAGCTAAGTAACGATTACGCACCCGAACATCTCATCCTGCAAGTCGATGATGCAGAGAAGGTAGCTGAAATGGTGGAGAATGCTGGAAGTGTGTTCATCGGCCAATGGACCCCGGAGAGTGTCGGCGACTACTCTGCTGGTGTAAACCACTCTCTACGTAAGTCATCTCTCATATGTTCTTCTCGAAACCTTCTGCTAACTTGAGATAGCAACATATGGCTACGCTAAGCAGTACTCGGGTGTCAATCTGTCGTCGTACGTCAAGCACATCACCAGCTCCCACCTGACTAGGGAAGGACTCGAGAACGTCGGCCCTGCTGTTATGGAACTCGCGCGCGTTGAGGAACTAGAGGCCCACCGAAGGGCTGTCAGCCTGCGACTTGGAGTAGCGTAATCGTTATGGACAATGAAGCACATGTAACATCATTACATCATCACGTTGTTGTTCGGATAGAGAAAAAGAGTGAAGTGATTCAAATGATCAATTGAAAGATGATGTTCTCATCTCAAAGAAGTAAATATATATACGATAGAATACCATCCCATCTCAACAAAACAAACACTCAACGTCTACCGAAAGGTGGTAAAGTTAGTCGACAACTCTCACTTCCACTCTAGGTATCTAAGCAAGAGCGGTGCAGAGACCGTTGTAGTTCTCCTTAGCCTTGAAGCTGCCGTCGAAGAGAAGAGGAGTGGAAGCAGCACCGATCCAAGAATCAGTGTCGCTGACACCCCAGACGGTAACACCGACACAGTTCTCAACGTCCAAGCAGGCAGTAACGGCAGTCTTGTAGTCAGCAGCAGATCCACCCTTGATGTCGAGCTCAGTCATGGCGCACTCGGGAGCAGAGCCACAGAGGAGCTTGAGAGCAGCAGGGTAGTCAGAGATGGGCCAGCTGCCAGACAAGTGAGACTGGGAACCGATACCGTCAATGGGGACACCAGCAGCGATCCACTTCTTGACGTTGCTAGCCATGGCCTTGGTCTTGGCGTAGCTGGGGCTGTCGAGGTTGTAGTCGTTGATGTAGAGCTTGGCCTCTGGGTCGGCGGCCTTTGCGGTAGCGAAAGCGGTGGCAACGAAGTCCTCACCGAGAACGTTGTAGAAGACAGAAGAGCGGAAAGAACCGTCCTCGTTGAAGATCTCGTTGACTACGTCCCAGGCGTAGACCTTGCCGGCGTAGGTGGTCATGAGCTTCTTGATGTGAGCGACCATGACTTCCTGGAGCTTGGTCTTGTCGGTGATGGAAGAGACCCAGGTAGGGAGCTGGGAGTGCCAGACGGTGGTGTGTCCACGGATGAGCTTGTTGTTCTCGGTGGCGAAGCTGACGAGCGCGTTGGCGCCGTCGAGGGTGAACTTGCCCTGGGTGGCCTCGGTGGCATCCCACTTCATGCTGTTCTCAGGGGTGACCTGACCGAAGTTGTCGACGATGATCTCCTTGTTCTTGCCCTTGCCGAGCGCACCTTGGTCGGTGGCAACACCGAGGTACTTCTTGCCGTGCGACTTGAAGGCAGCGTCGAGGGAGCACTTGGCTCCGTTGGCACCGCTTCCAGCGACGTCGGGGGTGGAGCCGTTGGCACCACCGGCAGAGCCAGTGGCAGCAGGCTGGGCAACAGCAACAGGGGCAGCGATGGGCTCGGTGGCGTTCATCGATGGCACAGGCGCAGCGGAAGGAACAACGGGTGCCGGTGCAACGCCGGTGGCAGCAGGAGGTGCCTGGCCGTTTCCACCACCGCTAACGCACTGGCTGTACCAGTCGTTGCTCTTGACGCAGGACCATCCCTGGGGGCAGGTAGAGTCGCCCTGGAAGCCCTGACCACCGCACTGTCCGTAGGGAGCAGCTGCGAGGACAGCGGAAGTCGAGGACAAGGCGACGACACCGAAGTAGATGGAGGATGTGCTGAAATGCATGATTGCTACTTTTCGATCGGTTCGGGTTCAAAGGTGTTCGGTTGGTAGGTGGAGAAAGGATAGAAGCTCGCTTCTATGTGGGTATTCAAGAAAAGAATGTCAGGAAGCACGCTTCCAGTAGAGTTCAAAGAAGAGAAGATAGAGAGAGTGTGTAGAGAATGGTGATGACCGAGTGAGTGAAGAAACAGTATGGCGGCGGATGCGATTCCATCTTATACAAACCACCAGCCGCGATTATGCGTCTGGAACGATTTCATGGTGGGTCAAATTTGGGCGGTTAGCTCCCATGAGGCGCATTGTTTCATGAAACCGTGAAACGGCATCCTGGAGATCATTGCACGGCAGCGCCCAAAGGAACCTCGGAACCGAGCGAGTTTAGCCGTTCCAGTCCAACATCGACGAACGACAAGTCGATGAACAGTGGGCTGATGCGGCGCACAGCAAAACGATGATATTGCGTGTGGGTAGGTGCCGCTCATGCGATATGAATGGAGAACCGCCATCCAGGCACGAAGCATCATGCGGGCCCGTGCTCTGGGTGCGCCAAGCGCTAAGCCTGTCAGAGGTAGATGTCACCTAAGCCCTTTTCGGTACGAACACCAGGCGAACAGACGATTTCTATGTTAGCCACCGGTTATCAAATGCTTCATGTTCCTTCGTTCAATGGGTCCCGCCACATCATCGCAAGGTCAAGGGACTCAAGCCTTTCAAGCATTTCAAAACATTCTTGTATTGACTAGGTTGTGATCATCCCCTTTGCTCATCTATCTGATCATGCAGGGTGTTATCTGCCCAGTTTTATGACTTGTAGACGTGCATGACGTGTGGGTTGCAGTATGCAAGAAGACCGGTCTTGCCCCATTCTCCACCGATACCAGATTCCTTGTGTCCTCCAAATATCGCCTGAGGTGTTGGCTTCTCCCATGAGTTCACGAACACGGAACCAGCTTCGAGACGGCGCGCTACCTTGCAGGCCTTCTCGACGTCCTTGCCCCAAACACAGGCACCGAGACCGGTGTTTGTGTTGTTAGCGCGTGCGACGACCTCATCAAGATCGGACCACGGCTGGGTGGGCACGATAGGACCGAATGGCTCTTCTTGGATGATACGGGAGTCGTTGGGCGGGTTGTCGATGATCGTTGGCTGGATGAAGTACCCCTTTCCGGTGCTGACGTCGGGCTGGCCAGCGGCGAACTTGTAGCCCTTGGCCTTGCTGTCCTCGAAGAAGCCCTTTACGCGCTCGTACTGCATCTGGTTCTGAACAGGTCCGAGCAGGTTGTCGCCATCGTCTGGGTTACCGATCTTGATCGACTTGGTGAAGTTGACCATCTCCTCAAGGAACTCCTTGTAGATGGACTCGTGGATGTAGATGCGCTTGGTAGCGACGCATACTTGACCGCTGTTCTGGAAAGCACCCATGACGACTTCAGGTGCAGTCTTCTTGATGTCGACATCAGGAAGGATGATGGACGCATCGTTGCCACCCAGCTCGAGTGTGACGCGCTTGAGGGTCTTTGCAGATGTCTCCATGACCTTCTTTCCGGTAGCGATGGAGCCGGTGAAGCTGATCTTGGCGATGTCGGGGTGGAGGCACATCTGAACACCGAGCTCGTTGTTGCCGCCGACTACTTGGAGGACACCTGCAGGGAGGATCTCCTGTGCCAGCTCTACAAACTTCAGAGCTGTGTAAGGTGTGAAGGGTGAAGGCTTGACGATCATGCAGTTTCCGGTCATGAGGGCTGGTGCGATCTTTCCAGTGCTCAGAACAAGAGGGAAGTTCCATGGGCAGATGGCACCGCAAACACCGAGAGGTGAATACTCTGTGTAGATGGTCTTCTCCTCATCCTCAACCTTCTCAGAAGGGACGTCGAGAGTCAAGTGGTGACCGATGAATCCAGCAACGGCACCAACCTCAATGGCAGCAAATTTTCTCTATTCGTATGTTAGCAAGGGTGTCAATGATCCCAACAACGACTATGACGTACCGGTTTGCCAGACTCTTTGCACAGCAGGTTGACAAAGTCATCGGTGTGTTGCTGGTACGACTCGGCGACCTTGTTAAGGAGCTCCTTCCTCTTCTCAATCTGCAGAGGTAGAGGTACGAAGTCAGTATGTCTCACATGCACTTCGTACAGTCAGAACCTACCGGTGTATCTCTCCATGCGGGGAAGGCCTTCTTCGCGGCCGCAACAGCGTCGTTCAGGTCCTGCTCGCTCGCAATGGGTACATCCCAGAGTTGCTGGCCAGTTGCGGGGTTGATACCATGGTGAATGTTGTCTGAGCCGCGCTGCTTGCCGTCGATGATGTTGTAGAAGGTCTCAAAGTCGAGAGTCGAAACTTTTCCTGGAGACATGGTTGAGGCAGTGGTAGTAGTTGTGGTGTAGGAGTTGATTTGGGTATCCGTTTGGCAGAGACAAGTCGAACGGGTCAAGGTCACTTCTTAAACGAGTCGAGTCGCCACTCGACTGTTCCTATCCTCGGCAGTACGCCTGTTGTAGCATCTTGGCTGAGACCCTTCGAAGTGGGGTCACAAACAGCAGGTTACCGCTTGCATCATCCCTTCCCCAATAAAATATTCTTCCCCGCTATTCTTGGGGCTTAGCTCGAGTGGGTGTCTGCCGCCTAGATGAGCCGTCTACCGACAAATGTGCTAGCTAACATCGTCGTCTTCCAAGATTTCCGAGTCTTTCAGTAGCTCCCGACGTCGGTCGGATTCCAGGTCGCAGTCGTTACTAAACACTCCCGGCAATTGCCCACCATCTGCGCATCGTGTGTTTGTACAGCCCGCTGCACCCCGCCGGGTCCATTGCGGTGCCTGCCGTATCGAGAAGTGGATTCCTTCTCCCTGAACGCGGGACAATCGCTTCACGTGGCTAGATCTTTCGTTGGAAAACGGACATCGCAACCGCCAAGGCCATGACTAGCGTTCGACGTGTCGGCTTCGAGTCTAGTTTTTACCCTTTCTCGCTTTACAAAACGGACGAACCTGTGTCCGCGTACTCTTGTGGTTCCCTTTGTGGATCGCGCAAGAGTTTCAGTGTTATCGTTCCTGCCGCGGCTTCTTGTCGTGCCTTACGATCATCACGTTAGTGAAGCGGGTGGATACGGGCTAAGGATCAACGACGCCTGTATGTCTCGCGGTGAGACGATAAGAGCTCGGAATAGTGAACAGGGCGAATAGAATGTTGTGGAAAGGGTTTGAAAGCCAAGCTGATGTTGAAGGTTTGTAGTCGCGGTGCGATGTTCATGTGTCACCGCACCCGCCACATCATGCACATGCTGTGGAGAAGCTTACTGGTCACGGCGTACTGCGTGGATACCAACATGCAAGAGCCACAAGCTATGCAAAAAACTTATAAGATGCACAAGCACAGTCGACAGAGTGATGAGCGTTCGCAATTAGGAGAAAGAAAATTTTGATATCTCTACGTGGCACCAAGCGTGATCTACAACTACAATTTCCACCAGGCCCCCCTTTACACATACTCCGAGTATTTCCCACTAGCACTTTCTCCACTGGACGTACAAATTTGATGTAAAGCGACCAGCCTCCTTTGTTGCAGCAAGCACACCGCTGGCCGGTGTAGCAAATGGTGTCAAGGCGACCTCGCTGTTGATGTTGAAAGCGGCATCGCTACCACATGGTGACCAGACTGCAGCTGGCACGTTGTCCTGCTTGAAGTATTTGCCATTGAAAGGGCCTTGAATGCTCAGTGCTGATGTCGACTGGCTTTGCTGACCGGAGAAGTAGTATGTCGACTTTACTACACCAGTAACACCGCCGTCCAGCTCGCCCCAGCCAGTGTAGTCTGCGCTGAAGATGGCGAAGGAGAAGCCGGGGGAGAATTCAAGCCCGAGGTTGATCTGGCAGTTCTTTCGTGAGTCTTCTGCGGCGTTTCCGTTACCGACTCGGGCTGTGAATTGCTTATTGAAGTCTGAGTGTGTGATTAGTACAGAGATCAAAAGGGAGTATGACGCGGTAGCGGCTTACAAATTGGCATGATGCCGTTCTCGGTCCAGTTGATGTCGATACTACCCTGAGGGCATCCTGAGCCACCGGACACAACGCTCTTGATTTTGAATGAATCTGGTGCTTGGTATGTTGGAGCAGCGATGGTGGCGGCCGCAAGGGCGAGGGTGGTAAGTATGTACTTCATCGTGTTGGTGTTTACTGATGTAAATCGAGAAGATAGGGCAGACTGATCAGGAGGTGTAGACTGCGGAATAATGGTCGTAATGTAGTGTTGCTAGTCAGACTGGAGCAACTGTGGGACATGATCGTCTTATATGTCAACGTATTATCCGAGTACGAGACCTAGAACGTGAGTAGTACATCTTGACTACACCTACTCCAGAAAGCTCTCTGTGCAGACCAAGCAGTCTCGTGGTCCGCAGACGTAGACATGTGATTGGCTACCTTTTCTTGTAGGACGGCGAAAGATAGCCACTCGCTACCAACAGGCGACCTTGCATTCGCCTCTTGCACCTCGAGCTCGGAGATGCAAACAAAGATGGTAAGGTTGCCATGCTTTAGATATGAGATCTGCCCGTCGATATTGCTCGTAGACTTCCGTACGAGACAGCCGGCAAGCAAGCGAGACGATGCCACGAAACGCAGGGCAATCTTGCTCTAGAACGTTCAGATTCTGGGGTAAAAAGCACACGCTTGGGGAAGAGCCAATCCAAAAATAGTTGTTGTGGAAATTACCGTAGCGTGACAAGTACAAGACGGGTATGCAGGAGGCGAATGTTGTATATATTAGATTGATGGACCCGGTCGAGGTCACGAACCAGACGTGCGACGGCTGATTATGGGCTGGACTTCCTGGGAGAGTTTGAGAGCTTTAGCGAGCTAGTGGAATCAAAAGACTTTCTGCAGCCAGCAAAACGGTAGTGCGGAAATCGGAGAGAGCTTTTCTTCTAGCGTTCGTGTCGTTCATCAATGGCAATATCAGCGGTGCTCGTTGTTCGTCCCAGTGTGATTTGCACGACTGTCCCCGAGCTGAAAGATGCACAATGTTTGTGCTAGCGCACTGTGGCCGAGTATAGGATTCCGACAGGGAGGCGTTGAGATAAGGTGTCGGGTAGCTGCTGTTGTTGGATGTGTGATCTGGATAAATAGGTTGGGAAGCCACGACATGGCAAAAGCAGCTAAGCCCGCACAGCCGGGATCCGACAGGCTCAAAGCATGAGATAGCAGATTCAAAGATAATACAATTCAACATTTGTACGCGATGGCCATATCCTATGTAGCCCTGGTATCTCCCTTTCCCAATCCAAACGCGCTCCCGTGATACTGAACGCCATTGTAATACATTACTTTAATGAGAGTGTTGCGCCGAAACTATGCTGAGGTATCGTGATGAAGGAAATCGCTTATTAACTTGGAAAGACTTTGCGGAACACCCGCCGCCACCTCGGAATGCTCTCTTCTTCTTCCACATCACTAGCCGGTGCATGACGCGGACCAAGCATAGCCAACGCTCGTTGCCGTGCCCATTCTCGTCTGTTTTGTGTGGGACTGCAGTCTTGCGTGGTTTGTGAAGGTGGCGCGTTGGTCGATTGGTGATGCGTCGGGGCATCTGGTGGCGGTGTGGTTGCCATTTCGATATCGTGTGGTCGTGATTGCGTGCGCACAGGCGCACTGAAGATGCGCCGTCCAGATATGGCCCCGCCTATCCTGCTACCAAGCGACCCAAAAGCCACCGGTGGTCGAGTTGGCAGTGCTGGTACTGTGGATGCAGAGCTTGGTTGGGCGCTCGCTGTATGTGCACTGCGCGCGCGCATGCGATTGATATGGCGCTCTCGCCGTACCATGACATTGGTGATCTTGACCGGACAAGCGCCGGCAGGCAATACGGTCTGCTTGCACATAGGACACAGCGAGGAGTGACTGAGGAGAAAGGTATCGATACATTCGGGGTGGAAAATGTGGTGGCATGGAAGCTCGCGCACTTGAGTCTCGTTAGCCTCGAAATCGTCCATGCAAATTGGACATGTAGGCTGAGACCATGCAGCCGACACGCCAGATGTAGGCACTGTGGGTGCAGATGAGCGACGGGATAACGGAGCCCCCTTGTGTCCAGTTTCCGCGTCTACAGCGGCATGCAGCATTCCCAGTGTTTGATTCGGCGGCTGGAGTGTGGTCGCTTTCTCGGGCTCACTCGCAATGGCAGGAGCAGTGTAGGTGTGTATGGGAAGTTTGTCAAGGACTTGTTGCGAGACTGTCAGGCGCTTGACGCCCAACGCTTCGAGGTCAACCTGGCCGTTGAGAACGCGCTCGCGGAGATCGTTGCGCCGTCTCCGTTGGATAATGTGCATGATGAGGGAGGTGATGCTGACAGCGACGAGGAGGATTGCGAGTACGATGACGAGGAAAACCCATAGACTTGGGAGCTGGCCACCGGAGTCTAAGCAGTGAGGTCAGTGGCATTCATGGATGTGAGCAGGCTGTACTCACCAGTACTGACGGTTGCCCATAGCCGCACATAGTCGGACGAGTTGTAGATCTGTGATAGTTCATCGGCATGGGGCACTGAGCTGAGATTTCCAGAGTACTCGTTCAGCTGATCCATGATATTGTTGCCCGTTATTGACGACAGGGCGTAGGTGGGAAAGTCGTTAGCCGTCTGCCAACTACCGCCATCCTGAAGGTTCCACGACGCATCGTTCAGCACTGGGGGCTTGGCGTTGGTGTCGCCTGGCTGATATGTGAGGAAGGCCTTGGTGGGATGGTTGCGCGCGGCGGCGAAGTACTCCGTCGTACATTGCGCCGAGAACCAGGGCGCAACGGCGATGAGGGCGTAGTCCTTGTCGGTGGGCAGATTCACTATCCGCGTCGCATTCTCGGGCACGTGGAGTCGTTCTTGTTCCCTACAGCCGTCTGTACTGACATCGGGGACGTAGAGAATGCCGTAGGGGTCCTGGTTGCTGTCGACGCCCTTGGTGGACAGGGTCTGGATGTTGTTGAGGATGCGATACTGGAACGAGACGGAGTCGTTGAGGGTGATGAACTGGTTGTTATCGTAGTCGATCACGAGCGGATCCGGGAAGTCGATGGTAAAAATGCCAATCCGCTGGGCAGCTGTTGGAGGGTCAGCGTGATTGCCAGAGGCGAACGGGCGGCAAGCCTGTGTGACGTACACATGTTGGAGCGACTGCGAGTGGCTATATATGACAGCGCGCACTGGACGAGGGTTACACAGAGGCCGCTAGTACAGGCCGACTACAATGCATTGCTGGTAGAGCGGGTGTCGAGCGTGCGCAGGGAGGCAGTCTACTAAGAGGCGGCGATGATGGTGGTGGAGCTGGCAGCGGGTGGCTAGCATTGAGGCTGGTCGGAAGCAACACGCAGCCGCCCCCTCCCGGATGGGATTCGACAGCCCCGGGCAGCACGTTAGCCAAAGCTTGATTCACTGGCGCGAACAGGAGATTGCGTCAAGAGACACCGCACAGCATGCACACAGGCCCCTCGGGCAATTACAGACGATGCCGTTGTGCATGAATAGTGCTGAGGCGTCGCTAATGACGTTGGGCCGCCGACACGATCCATCTTATCGCACCGCCCATGGCCTTTCGCGACTTGGCGTGTCCTGAGGCTAGCACGCCCCGGATGTCCAGACCTGCCAACACCATGCATGCCCGCGACGGCCATGCCACCACCGCCGACGCCTGCTGCGAACCCCATTGATGCACGCCCGTCGCCCGTAGAGCGCCCATGATAGCACGCCGGTAGCCTCCAGACTTCCGCCACCGCCTCGCGTCTGCCGTACGTCGACGCGACTGCCTTCCCCGCATACCCCGACAACCCACTGCGACACGTCCAGTATGGCGCCCCCAGGCCTGGGTAGCAAGGGAAAGGCGACCAAGCCGGGCTCCAAGCCCTCGCAGCCACCGCGCAGCCGGAACACAACGCCGCTCCCCAATGTGCGCGCCTCGGTCGAGCCTGCCGCGTCGTCATCGTACTTCGGAAACCGCCTGAGCTCATATCTCAAGAAGTGCCCTACTACCGTCGAGGACATCCTGGACGGCGGCACCAGCGGCTCGTCGATTCCATCCGGCAAGCAGCTCTTTCTTATGCGCGACAACATCGAGAAGAATGTCCTGAAGAACGTCGAATCACGCTGCGTGCAGTCGGAAGGTGCGCTGAGGGAACTCATGAACAACAAGAAGAACCGCGCGCCGCGCGAAAGAGACAGGGAAAAGGACGGCGAGGAGCGCAAACACAAGCTCAAGAAGGTGAGCAAGAAGCACGACGAGGACGGAAAGCACCCACCTGCGACCGGTGCCCATGGCCTGGCCAGGCAGGACGGTGGTGACGCCAAAGGTAAGTCAACAAACACTGGGCAATCACTCTTCCCTGCGACTCTACTTGTACCCATGCAATCACTCTCCACATGCACTACACTTTACATTCTTCAACATGGCTCCTAGACGCCGACAGTTGATCGTCAAGCTCAAGATCAGAGGACTCGACAGACATCTGACTTCACGCACAGAAAACTCCTCCGCCATCTCATCGCCGATATCCCAAGCCCCGCCCTCTGCTGCCGGCGGCGGACTAGCCGACGCTCCCTCACCCAGCGGCTCCGATGTCTCCCACCAACCCGCGCCCGCCCCCGCCGTACCGCAGTTCCAAACCTTTGGCCCAGACCCCGCCAAATTCGATGACCCCACCATATACCATATACGCGAAGTTACCCCGGGCATGTCGATCGAGGAAAGGAAGGAGATTTACTGCGTCGCCGACTTTCCCAAGTCCAATCTCCGGGACAGGATAGCCGGGTCACCACCAGCAAAGGACTTCTCCAACGCCAAGCCCCCATCGCAGGTTAATGCCACTGTCTTCGCCAACTACGTTGAACCCTACATAAGACCACTTACCGAGGAAGATGTCGCTTTCCTGAAAGAGCGCGGCGACCGAGTAGCGCCCTTTGTGCTTCCTAGGCGGGGCCCGCGGCATTACAAGGAGATCTGGGCTGAAGAGGATGGCTCTATGCACATAGACTCCAACGACCAGCGACCGCCGCCCAACGTCCCGCGCGGGGCAGCCGAAGACATAACAGACGACGTGCTTGAGACCGACCAGGTGTCTACCGGTCCTCTCCTGTCGCGCCTGCTAGCCACATTACGTCCCGAGGGCCGCGGCAATCAGAACTCCCAACACGAGACGAATGGAATCAATGGAGACGCCATGGACATTGACGAAGGTGCAGGTGCACCAGCAGATGTCACCAACAACAACTCGATACCCGCCGCCGCCCAACTTCCCGAACTTGTCCAGCCCAGTTGGAAACCTCCGCAACAAACCAATCGCACCGACTATGTTGGCATAGAAGATCGCGTGCTGATGGAACTCAAGCACTTTGGCCTAATCTCGGAAGCAGACGCCGAAGCACAGTCGTACGATTCCCACTTTGACGACGAAGTAGCTCAACGGCTACGCTTTCTGCAAGAAGAACTCCGCAAACAGTCCATCATCAACGGCGCGCGGAAACAGCGCCTCCTCGAACTCACCGAGGAGCGCATAGCCCAGCAAGAGTACAACACTATAGCTGACGATCTTGACAACCAACTCAACGCCGCATACCTCAAGCGTAACCGCAATATAGGCAAGGGCAAGAAACAAAACAAGCGGCCTGGTGGTGCGGGAGGCGGAAGCCATCCTGTGGCCAACGCTGGCATTTCGAGACCGGGCGTCGGCGAGCCAATACGGACTCTGATGGAGAGGAGACAGCAATGGATCAATACTATTGGTCCTGTTGTGAACTATGGCAAGACAGGGTTGCCGACCGAGACCATATTCGGGGAAGAGAAGATGAAGGAGTTGGAAAACAGGGAGGTGGAGATCTGGAACACAGAGGCTGAAGAGTAGATTTCTCGGCTAGAATCGACCGCGGCTCAACAGACGTCCACTGATGAAGCGAGGAAAGAGGCGGTCTCTTGGTTGAAGGCGCAGTCCACTGTTGGAAACGATCATGATGTTTGATGGCGCAGAACTGGCATATTCGGGCGGCAATTGCTTGTAGCCTGTCTTTCGGCATTGTTTGTCCATGGATAACTGAGCATGTTATGGCGTAAGGGTGTTTTTCGGGACCACACTGGCGGTCTGGTGTTATTGATCAAGCTTGCATATGGCTGCGCTGGAGCGTCAGGCGTTGAGATCGGCCGATCTCTGGAAACCAAAGAGCCGCAATACTACATTTTTCCCATGTGTCTACCCCTCACACCTCTTCTTGTCAAACAAACACACCTGCAGCGCTTTCATGCTCCATTCCTCTTCGCTACAGCATGTGCGTCTTCCCTGCTTCACCGGTTCCCGACCGCGTGGAACCGCGCACATGGCCATGAGATTAGCGAATATCGAATTGGGCCGTCAGCCGTGAAGATAGTAACCTGGCTGACCACGTTTCCAACCCGCATGAGTTTGGCGGTTGCGGCGTGCATATGGAGGCTGTGTCGCGTGCTTTTACCTGGTGGGCAGGGGGTTGGGTAGGTCGTCTCGAATGAGAATTGTCGACAACACCAGAGCTTACGGGTGGGTGGGTTTTGAGCGAGCGAATAGCGGGAGGGGTTTCGCTTACATGTTCGGTAGCTGCATGCCGCGTGGACGAAATGGGCTTTGGGCAGCCTGGGAGGGTGCGGCTGGAGATGGATTCGGTTTAGTTGTGGATGTGGTGGGCTCAATGTGGTAGTTTGCAGAACATGGTGATCGATCAGATCGCGAGGTTATCGCAGATGAGGGTATGTCGCTGTTACGGCTAGTCAATACCGCCATAATGAGTGCTCATTGCTGTGGATGTTAGAAAGGGTTTAATACTATGAACATACTCTCATTTCTACTGTAAGCTTTCGACTCCCCTCCAGCTAGTGTACGCGTATTAAACACTTGTTCGTGCCATGCTCACTGTATTCTACCTCTAGGTTCAGGTACCACAAGCACCAAGGATGGTCCTTGATTCTTCGAGCTTATTTCGCAGAGCCGCACCTAACAGCCTCTATCGTTCCTGGCTAGAGTATTAATGCCATCCTATTCAGGTTATCTGATCCACGGAACAGTATCGCGACCTGCATATAGCAACGGAGGTGCTCCACCCGGTGCACAGCCGACAAAAGGATAATTATGAGTGGATAACAGGCACACGTGGGCTCACCGTCATAGAGAAAACATGCAGAAGCTATCAAGGATACGTAGAAAGACGTTTATAGGAGCAGGATCGAAAGGTGCTGTGAGGGGAGGGTGAGCTGGCCATTGACGTGGAGAGTTATTTTGAGCTGCAGGCAGCGCTTACCCATTTCGGCCAGCAGTACGTTAGCCTGATGTACGTCGTCATTGGAAGGCACGATGGATCTCTGTATCGTCTTCGATCCAGATGAATGGATGTTCTCAACTCCCTCTCATGTGTTAGAATATGTTACTGTGATACTATACATGTGCGATGTCTGTCAAACGACTGCGCTCCCCACATCGAGACCAGGGCCGGTCCTGCGACATTGATTACACGCAGAGCTCTTAGGAAAATGCATGCAGCGAAATCACCTGCCGTTCGTCCGGTAGCCAGCATCAGCCGTTCATCTTGGTACTCGTTTCTTCAAGAAAGCGCTGCAATGTTGTTCAGTATCAGAGTCTTCTGTCAGCACAATGCGGCTGACACATCATTTGTTCATTGGATGCTGCATCTGCACCACTACCAAGACGTATTTTCTCTCGCACAGCCGTCCACCACCTGCATTAGCTTCCCTGCTGGCCACTCACACCACACCTTCACACCTGAAAAACGTGGTGTCAGGGATCAAGATAGCTGCAGCCGTTGACATGGCCGCAGACAGTATGCAGCATGCAGCGAACAGACCTCATAGAGACGTGTGTAGCTCGCTTGCCGGGTAGCAAGGTATGATGTGGGCGCGAGGGCTGAGACATGCGGGTGCGCTAATCATGGCAATGGTAATCCTGCGATGCAGCTCTATGCGAGAGCGCTAAATCTCACCTACACCACAATGATGCATTTGGGAAAGGTAAGAATGTTCAGACAACAGTTCATATATAAAGGCGGTGGAGCCTCATGGAGCTGGAACTGGCCTGAAGGAATTGGTAGTACAACGCTCAGCTTACCTTTTACCCGACACCGATTCTTTGACAGAGGATGCCCGTTATATCATAATGTCTACACCATCTCGACCTATTCTCTGGAGATCACCGGTCATACTTGAGAGCAATAAGACACCACTCAAGATGTCTACACCTACTTCAGCACCCAAACCATTTACACCTCGACGGGATGGGAATCTGAAGCTCCGGGCTTCATGCGACGCCTGTGCCGCGTCGAAAGTCAAGTGCAGCAAAGAGCATCCGAACTGTGCGCGCTGTCTCCAAACCCACACGAAATGCATATACGGCGTCTCGAGAAAACACGGAAAGCCAGGCCGGGTGAGGAAGAGGAACCCAGATGGGTCTCCGTTTGTCAAAGTCACAAAGCAACGCCCATCACCAAGTGGCAATGAGTTTGGCGCATTCATGCTACAAACTCCTCCTGTTCGACGGACCAATTCGAAAGTCACGTCGAACTGGCCTTCAGACTGGTCACCTACTCCTAGCTTATCCACTCCTTCAGGTTTCGACTCCGAGACTGCACCTGAACCACCATACCCGAGTGAAATCCTTCAAGACACCACCTATATGGACACTGACGTCCTGTCGAGACAACATGTTCAGCCGGAACCTATGTCAGCCACTGGGACAGACCAGTTCTTCCAAGATCCTTTCACTCAGGAACAGACAGTACAGTCTCAGTATCCCACCTGGGAGACTCTCAACGACTACATGGGTAGCGATGACACAAACCCCATGGACTATCATCCTGGCGGTGCAAAGACCGTGGAGCATCTACGTTCGGCCTCCTCTATATCTTTTCCGTATAGTCCAATGAGCCAAACCGTAGGAGGACACGACAATATGGCATCCTACACCGAAGTCACGACAGACGACTGCCATAGTTGCTATCCGTTGGCCTGTTCGACGCTCGAGAGTCTGCCAAACGTCAGATACCCGGGTCACTCGAGGGATTCATTCGATGCCGTTCTTCGCACTGTTCGGTCAGCACGAGAGAACATCTCGCAGCTTCTCAGGTGTTCATGCTCGTCAGACCCACACCTCGCTATGCTGTACTCTAGCATAACATCCAAGATTCTGGCCTGGTATCAAACCGCTGCTAGCGTTAGTCGCGGACCCCGTACGAGCTATCCAGTCTCGGCATCGCTTCCTTGGAACTACTGCCAGCCTCTGCCTTTCCCGCAGACCGTTTTCTCCCCTTCGTCTGTGACGAGCATTGGGGACGCGGAAAATTACAACCTGTACATGCAGTCATCTCCCTTCACCCAGTACAAATTTGACGACGGTGAGCAAGAGAGACATAGAAGACAGACAATCCTCAATGAGTTGCGAGGATGTGCGCAACTCGTTGAGGCACTGGCTAATTGGGGGGGTAATGGCGATACTTGCGAGCAGGCGGGGCACCTGTATGAATTTCTAGGAGGCTGGCTGAAGAGCCAACTGTGTATGATAATGAAGCAGATCGAACACAAAGAGTCTTCGAAGGCTTGAGCTAATGAGGAGGATCGATAATCAGGAAAGGAATGGGGGGTGCATTGGAGGCATTTTGCTGCTGTTTAATAACCACGGTTTCTCGTGACTGGTGGTAGTCGAGCTTATCACCTAGTAATGTTAATCAAAAGTCCTTCGTTCTTATACTCTTAGTGGCAGTAGGAAACATATCTCGTAGATGCGCGGATATTCAGACAATAGTAGCCTGCTCTGCGGCTGTGTTTGTCGAGCTGTTGTGGAGCCACCCCGGATTTCCCCAGTGCACGTGCACCTTCACATGCCTCGGCTCAAACCGCAGCAAGCATCATAGCACTGGCTCACATGCAATGTACACCATCTCCAACCTCCAGCACCGCCGTTGCGAGAAATGACAGTCTCCCCAGAGAGGATGTACACGGTCAACAATGGCCGCTCAGTCTACCTTGCGACAGCCTCATGACCCGCTCCTAGCACTCTACGACCGCTATGCGACGCTCCTCAAGTCCCGCGTCCGCGGCGCATCCAAGCTCACGAAGCTGCTATCGACCATCACCCTCCTCTTCACCATCATAGGCACCGGATATGGAGGTACGAGATGGTACAAGAGCCGGCGCGCAGAGAAGGAGACCGGCCGACGGTTGCTGAGGAGGAACTCCGGACTCAGGAACAAAGATGGCTCCAGGACCATTTACGTGCCCTATCGCGACTCGACGTCCAAGGTGGTCATACATCCCACCAAGCAAACCACATTCGATGCGCATCGCAGACTCTTCCTCCAGCCGCCCCGCGCAGCCCGCATGGCTGACACGACCTCGAGCGACCCGCAAGCGCCGCCGCCACAGACGAAGCCGGGTCTCAACTTGGCCTTCCTACACCAGTTCCTGAGCCTCCTGAACATCATGATACCGCGTTGGAATAGCAAGGAGACGGGTCTGCTGGTCAGCCATAGCGTCTTCCTCATGCTGCGTACGTATCTGTCACTGGTTGTAGCGCGTCTCGACGGAGAGATCGTGCGCGACCTTGTAGCAGGCAACGGCAAGGCATTCCTGTGGGGCATAGTCAAATGGCTTGGTGTCGGCACCTTCTCTTCGTACACAAACGCTATGATCAAGTTCCTGCAGAGTAAAGTCTCGATCGCGTTCCGAACGCGCCTCACGCGGTACATTCACGACTTGTACCTGAACGACCATCTGAACTACTACAAGTTACAGAATTTGGACGGAGGTGTAGGCGTTGGGGCCGACCAATACATCACACAAGATCTGACGCTATTCTGTGCGAGTGCAGCATCCTTG